TATTTTATCTAAGGCCTCTTGAATTTTGCTAGAGGCTATATAAACTATATATCATGCTCTCTATATCGTACTGGCTTTATAGTGATAAACGCCAGTTTCACTTTTTAACGTTGTGGGTACGCAATTCCAAATGTTTTTTAATATTCGAGAGTATAATCGTTAATTATATTGCGCAAAGGCGCGTTGTCACACAATAAATCTTCCCAGTCATGGGATTGGCGCTAGTCTCTAAATGGCAAAATATTAAATGGAGGCAAACCTAATTACAAAATATATCACCCCTCCCCCTTATATGCTATAGTGAAATTAATAAAAAGAATCTTATAAATTTAGTTTCTTTCATGTCAATTTAGGCTAGGAAAAATAATCAAATATCTAATACTTGCTAATTATCAATCGGCAATTGTAATGGGCACTCCATTGGGATTGTTCAATGAATGAGATTAAAATATAATCTGGGAATTTTCAATAACTTTTAATGTTTGCTAATTATTATAAAGAATATAGTTGAAATTTGTTTACCTATCGAAAATATTATTTTTAATAATAATATTTAAAATATTTTCTAAAATTTTAAATGATTTATTTGAAATTTATTATTAAAATTATCCATACATGTTCTATACTTTTAGAAAATAAACAAATAAGAATAATAATAATATTTTAAGTGTGAAATTATAAAATATTATGGTAAAAAATTTAATAAAAACACTTAAAATTCGAGAAAAAAAAACTTATAGTTTTTTATTATTTGTTAATCAATAGGCATATCTCTTTTTAATTGATATTTATTAGAATAAAATAATCGATAAACATCATAATCATATCAATTATTGAATTTAAAAAGAATATAATTCAAGTCAAAAACTACCCCACAAAATCAATACCTAACCCCAAAAAATTAAAATTTACTTTCTCAAAAAAAATATCAAAAATCCATATTTACCCCCCAAAATGCCAAACAATTGTCTCCTACTCACCCCGGACATGTAGACGCTGACTGGCGCCATCGTTAACAAAATACAAACAATAATAGTGCAAATTTTTATAAGAAAAACCCAGGATTTAAGAATATTCAGTTTGCTGTGAATTTTCTCCTTTGCATCTTTTAATTCCAGTTTAATTAGGTCTAGAAATTCAAAAATAGCATCATGAAAAGACCACAATAATTATTTTACTTAAACAACTAAAGACTGATTTATTTTACAACGTAGTAGATCTAGGAGCTATTTTGGATTATAAATAAATAATATTACTTATAATTTTAATCTGCATTTCTTAATCAATGCTTTTAATTTATTGACAAAGCAAAAAATCTAGAATGCAAAATATGTATCTAAAACATTGTGCTCTTTAAATCTATTAAAAATACAAAATTTACAAATTTCATCTTTATTTAAAAACGTATATGCTTAGAAAACTGATATGACATTCCCGCAATTCAATTGGTCCTTTGTTTTAAGAATTAAAACAGGGAATAGTTAGTTTTAAAAATTAAAAATGTACAATATCATTATTATATTACTATTTTCTTTAAATCTATCTATTATACAAATTTAGCTAATAGTGTTCTTTTAAAACTATTTGTCCAATAAAAATCATCATACAAATGATAAGGTAATAGTAATTTCTATCATGTGATGCTAGATTTTATTATTTTTAATGATGATGATTTTATACACTACCCAAGATACCTCACCAGAAGACTTTAAAGATATTGATAATTTATGTTATACTTGATTTTATTTTAATAAATATTTATGTATACTCAAGGTCAAGATCCCTCAGATTTAGATAAATTAACAATAAATGAAATCTATCAAAATAAGAAATATAGCCTAGCCATTTCTTCAAAGGGTCTGGATTTAGACTTTCGCAGTATAAATGTTTAAATTATCAAATACATTTTGCTACAATAAAGATCTTGTTGAAGAATGGATCCATGTCATGAAAGTATGCAAACTTACTCGAAACTCTGGAGAACAATTTACCAGGAGGGCTTTGTGCCTTCCATTTTCAAAAAGCTTTAAGGAAGAATGCAATCCCACAATCTAATAAATATTTTAATCTTATATGAATATATAACTTCTAATAAGGTAATTTTTATGCATATAAATATTTGCATTTACATGAATACTTAGATGAATAAGATTGACAAGGAATTAGAATTTTCTCCTTAATTTGATGGTGGATGAATCAAAACTTATCTTATTGATGGACAAATAAGAAATAAGCCTAGATGAGGTGTGAATTATAAATTTACATATATTTTGAAGAAAGTTCAAAATTTTCATTATTCTTATTAAATATGTATAAAGTATATAACTTATTATCTTCATCATGAACAAATGATTGGAAAATGTGCGAATATGCCTTTTTCTATTTTTTAAAAAAATTTATTTACTCAATAAAAAATCAAACCTTTCTAGATGGGGGTTTTTAATATTAATTTTTTTTAAATACTAAGCTTAAACCAAAATATATATTGCAGAACACCAAAATAAACAACTATTATGCGAAATTATAAGTGAGAAGGATAAAAACCATCATGTCCGGATGTAAAAAAATTTTTAAAAAAATTGATAAATTGATATTTCTTTATTAGGTAAGACTCACAATAATTTTTATATTACATATTTTTCATAATATATTTGCTTTTCTCTAAATATTTATAGAAATCCTGGCAGAATGAACACAGATAATCTATTCCTCTTATTTGACTATTGATTAAAGAAAAGATTCTTTTAACTTTAGCATTATGAGCTGATATAGGAAAAAAATAAAACTTGCAATAATATAAGTTCATTAAATTGTTTAAGGATTGGAATATAAGAGAAATCTTTCGCTTATTCAACACATCAGATTTTATTTGTAATAAACAATTTAAAGTTACAAACTAGTTGAACAACTTGAAGCATTTGAAGAAACATTTTTATTTTTTTTTTAAATCTATAACTTTTCTAAATCAAACTACATGTGAAATAAATATAAAAAGAAAATATTATTTTATTTATTTAAAAAAACATAGGTTAAAATTATTTTAAAAAAAAATTTAGTCAAGGGGCTCATACACAAGAGGGGAGGGGATCAAGTTTGTGATTGTGATTAAAATTGAAGAATAAAAATTTAAATTTTATTTTCTGCTAATTTAATTCTTGGTAATGGGGTGAGAGAGTAGCTAAGGAAATATTGTCATTGGATTGGCCTATAGTAATGTTAAACGGCCCGATTTGGGTTGATATTTTAAAAAGGATCCGATTAAGTTAGTCAGTATATATTATTTTAGCCTGAATATTTTGCTCATAAGTGGTGAAAGGTTGGCCTCTATTTGTTAAATCACTAATATTATTTTAGTTAAAATCTTAATCGGGCTGTTTAAAACACTTGTACAGAAGTGTTTACACAGTTCCAATCAACACTTTGTAGAAAAATTATACGGGCTAAACACATAAATAAAAAGTAATAGGAGGGCTTAGCTCTTTTTATCCTCCTTACAAAATTATTGATGGGTGCTTATTTATCTATATTTGCTAGTGCTGTAAACATTTCTTCAAGTTCATGTTCAAAAAAAAGGAACGCGTTCACGTTCATAAAACCGTTCAAAATTTTATGATAAATTTTTTTGAAATTTAATTAAATATAAAAAAACTTATATTTTTTAATACAATATATTTTAGCCATGTTAAAAAATAATATATTTTTATTTTGATAATATAATATAATAAAGCGAATAAAAAGATATTTTTATTTATAAAAAATTTTTCTTATTAAATTTTAATAACAATTGTTTTCAAAATATTTATCTGATAGACAGGAACACTTGGCAGTTAATACGGAATTAGCTAAACTAAAAACGCGCTCTACAGGGGCAGATGAGGAGATTGCGGTATTATACTTAATAAACAACTCTTTTAACGTGGAGAATTAATTAAAAACATATTGTTTTGTTATTTGCAAAAAATTGAGATAAGTTATCCTCCTCCAATCCATTATCTACTCTCGACAAAATAAAGGATATCTCAAAATTAACAGTTCTCTAGGGTTTTCAAAGCATTTTTTTCTATAACGCTATAAGTTTATTTTTAATAGGTTCGTTCTGTGGAAGTTTTATCCATGGCCATAGAAGTTTGAATGCTGGATGTATAATTGCAGAAAGAACATATTCTTATATATATGTTCAAATCTTTAAAAAAAATAAAATATATGTAATTAATTAAGAGTGATAGGTTTAATACCTTTTATTAATCCCATTTAACACGGTGTCTAACAATGGTTGACCATATTTGAGGCCACTAATTTTTTTATTTTAAAATAGTATCGTTATTGTTGGGGTCAAATATCCCAAATGCATTATTTCTTCAAATTTAATAATTTAACTTATTTATATCATATAAAATCAAATAATTAATATTAAAATCAAATGTCGTTTTAAATTGGAACCTGAAGATTTTGACAATATAATACTTTTTGGCCATATTTTACAATTGGTAAGCATTGGATTAGTTCCTTCAATATAGGATGTTAATAAAAAACATTCATCATATCATATTTGGCCATAGTAATGATAATTCATCTGATTTTGTATTAAATAATATTCATGCTTATTCTAATCTATTAAATTAAAATATAAACAATAATATTCAAATTAATAATATGTGTTAAAAAAATAGAAATGTGAAAAGGAAATACACAGCCGATTAAAAAATATAAATAATACATTTTTAAAAAAAATTCGGCAATATTAAATTTTTCAAATAAATAAAAATAAAAATATTTTTAAAATTGAACGAACGTTAAATTCAAACGCGTTCGTCATAAAAAAGGAACGCGTTCACGTTCAAAGTTCGTCAAAAATAAAAAGAACTCCGTTCATCATTTTTTTCAAAAAAACGGAACGCATTCATTTTGAACTTGTTCGTTTAAAACACTAATATTTGCCTATCCCTGCTGATATACAATTTTATTAATATCTAACTTAAAATATTTATTTTACCAGTTATCCATTATACCTCATTTTTGAAAAAAGTAAGCATGTCTATAATATTTATTTTCTACATTTATTTTTTAATAGGGTAAAGAATATGCATCTTTATAATTTAACTCTTCAAAAGGCTTCAGGAATATGTATTGCTGTTCATGGCAATTTTTCTGGTTCAAAACAACAAGAAATAGCTATAAGTCGTGGCAAGATTTTGGAACTCTTAAAACCAGATTTAAATACTGGAAAGTTGCACACATTGCTAAGTGTTGAAGTATTTGGAGTTATAAGATCAATGACGCCATTTCGTTTGACAGGAGGCAATAAAGGTTACTTTTAAAAGTTATAAACATTATTTAATTAAATTTTGTTCAGATTACTTAGTGATTGGTTCTGATTCAGGAAGAATTGTAATTTTAGAATATAAGCAGCCTAAAAATGTTTTTGAAAAAGTTCATAGTGAATGTTTTGGCAAAACAGGCTGTAGAAGAATTGTTCCTGGTCAGTATTTAGCTATAGATCCCAAAGGAAGAGCACTTATGATTGGTTATTCATATTTTTTAAAAAAATATTGTATTCTTTTTTATAAATTATTTTATAACAAAATATAGAATTTAATATTTGAAACACCTAATTTTTAGGATTTTTACTACCTATATATAATATTAATAATTTAATACAATTTGATTAATAGGTGCTCTAGAAAAGCAAAAATTTGTGTACATTCTAAATAGGGATTCTCAAGCAAATTTAACAATTTCATCTCCACTTGAAGCCCACAAATCTTACAATTTATGTTATCATATGGTTGGTATAGATGTTGGCTTTGAGAATCCTATGTTTGCTTGTCTAGAACTGGATTATGAGGTTTTGATATAAAATTCAATTTGATAATTTAAAAAAAATATATTTTTTACATTTATGATAACTTTAAATGATGATTTTTTGTAATAAATTTAAAATAGTTTTGCAATTAAATTTTTCATTAACATTGCAAAATGTAAATTATCATTTTTTAACTTAAAGGAAGCTGATAATGATATAACTGGTAAAGCATTAAAAACTGCTCAACAAAATCTGACATATTATGAATTGGACTTGGGACTCAATCATGTGGTTAGAAAATATGCAGAACCATTGGAGGAAATGGGAAATTTTTTGATTCAAGGTAAATTATTCAAAATATAGTTATCTTGGGAAACAGTATTTTATTAATTAAATGAAATTATGAAAGCTGGGTTAGTTATATTAATTATATTACATTACCAATAACTGAAATGTTTAAGAAAAGGAAATATATCTTGATTTGATAATGTTGTCATGGAATTTCTTCAATAAATAAAGATGCAATTTTTATAAATAATCATGTATTTTTGAGCACCATTCTTTAAATTATTATATATATATTACAATCAATTTGTATAATCACAATCATTCAATACATGTATTGCCTATGTATAATGTGAAAATTATAGGATAGGTATTCTACACATGCTGGAACACATTTCCGAAAAATAGTTTATTAAATTTTATCTACATATATACTGACAATTCATGAATCGAATCACAAATTGTATAACATAAGATATGAAGTCCATAAGATTCATATACTCTTAATTATAAACTCATTTATTGAATGTGATATTTTAAATAAACTTGAGCATGTATTAGAGTACCTAAGCTTTATGAGTTTTAGACATGAGAAATCTATATTAAAAACGAATATAAATTTAAAATGGTTCAAAAGTTTATGATAAAATTGCACATGAGGATGACAGTTTCTGTCAAATCAAAATCTGCTAAATTTAAAAATTGCCCTCAGTAAATGATTGTAAAATTGAGAGACATATCCTAATATGGCATTCTAAATTATTTTTTTTTTCAAATTTTGGATAATATATTTTTATTGGTTTTTTAAAAAAATTAACCTCTCATTTAAGGGTTCTTTATATCTACTCCCATAATTAGAATTGATCGAGGTTCAGATATATTGGAACCTTATAATTTAAAAAAAACGACGTAGTAGATATACATACAATTATTTGGTTATCCCCTTTGTACATTATTAATGCTACAAATTAAATTTTCCTAATTTTTTTACTTTAAATGAAAGATTTTTAATTCAGAGGTTGGGGACTCAGACTAAACAAAAAAAAAGATTCTATTTCCTGTTCTTTGGAATCAACGAAAGACACTTTATTTCCAGATTTTATATTTTTGTACCATTATGTTCCTGTTACAGATCGACCAATTGTGAACTATTTATAATTATGTAGGAACGGATTTCGGTTCTATTTCCTACAGATTTTGAGAAACGTTTTAGTTCCGGTTTATAGTTCTGTCCCAGATACCCGGTTTGGATTTCGGTGCTTAATTTTGAACCGGTTTACGGGTTCCGGTTGCGAGCTTATTATATTTTTTATAAACATATTTTGTTTTTGATAATTTATAAATCAATAAAGTCCCCGGAGGAAACGAGGGTCCCGGTGGGGTGCTGATCTGTTGCGAAAATTACGTGATATACAAAAATTTGGGAGATCAACCCGACATCAAATTCCCGATCCCCAGGAGACGCAACGATTTGGACGATCCTGATCGGGGCATGCTGTTCGTTTGTAGCGCTACCCACAAAACGAAGGTTTAAATTTTTTTAGCGGTATTTTTTTATTTTTAAATTTTTAAAAATTGGGTACGAATTGGAGACCTGGAAAAGCCGTGCCTATTTTTTTGAAAACAAATCGAGTTCGGGCTGGGTTAGGCCTAATATTTTTTAAGGAAATTCGGGTGGGGTCAGGTTGGGCCTTAGAATTTTTTTTTAAAATATATCTAAATTTATCAATTTTATGTTGAATTTTTGTAAAATAAAAATATTTGATTTAATTTGATTTTATTTATGGAAACTGGACGGCATATAACCTGTATCGTTTATTTTGAGTAATTATAAAAATAAGTTTCTACATTTAAATAAATTTGGGTCGGGGCCGGTAATTTTTTTAAAAAAAAAATTTTTTTTTCAGGCCGGGCTTGAAAAATTAGGCCCGATGCAGATCACTAGTATGAGTTATGAATTGGATCGCTCAATTTTTTTAAGTGCCTCTCTAAATTCCCTAATTATTTTCACTATCAAGTCCGAGTTCTAGAAATAGATGTATTTAAATCTCTTTTTGTTATTAATCAATGGCTTAATTATTAAAAAAAAATGTTTTATAGCTTTTGGTATTCCAAATTATTTATATTCTAAAAAAAACAATAAGTTTATAAAAATATCCGAATAATGTCAAATGATACAGAAAAAGTCAGGTTTCGACTTGAAAAAAAAACTGATAATGGGACAACATATATTTGGCTTTAATATTAAATATTGGGATTTTGTTGCTAGTTAAATCAAGGGTGCTAAAACATTTTAAATATGTAATTTGACTTATTGGGATGTAAATGATTTTCATTCTAAAAAAAAGTTTTAAAAAGATGTCAAAATTATGTTAAATAATACAAAAAAGTCAAGTTTCGACTTGAGGAAAAAAAGTAATATCGTGAAAATATATTTGGCTTTAATATTAAATATTGGGATTTTATTGTTAGTTAAATCAAGGGTGCTAAAACATATTAAATATGTAATTTGACTTATTGGGATGTAAATGATTTATATTCTAAAAAGAAAGTTATAAAAAGATGTCATAATTATGTTAAATAATACAAAAAAGTCAAGTTTCGACTTGAGGAAAAAAAGTAATATCGTGAAAATATATTTGGCTTTAATATTAAATATTGGGATTTTGTTGTTAGTTAAATCAAGGGTGCTAAAACATATTAAATATGTAATTTGACTTATTGGGATGCAAATGATGCAAAAAAGTCAGGTTTCGACTTGAGAAAAAAAAAGTAATATTGGGGACATAGTTTTAACAAAATTCGAATACCAGTTTCTTTTGCAACTGAATGCTATAGATTTTTTTTTATTATCCAAGAATTTCCAATTATTTTAATTATTATTTTTAAAAATCATATTCGGCTTCTTGGGGTGGGGGGTGGGCTAAAACATATTAAATATGTTATTTCACTTGATTGGGATGTAAGTGATTTACATTCTAAAAAAAAGTTATAAGAAGATGTAATAATTATGTTGAATGATATAAAAAGTCATATTTTGACTTGGAAAATGTTTATATTTGTGTACCAATGACACATAATAATACCGAGGCCACTTCCATACACGACGTTTTTTCAAAACGTTTTCCGAAACACGTTTTTCGCAATATTTTTTACTTCCAAACAGCAACGATTTATATTTTACAGCTGATTTTTTTAAAAATGAATTTTATAACTAGATATTTTATTATGAGACATTATAAAAAAAACGAAAAGTAAGTATAATTTATAAAGAAATTAAATGAGAATTTAAATGATTCGCAATTCTTTCACTATCTTGGATTATCTAGGAATGTTTTTTATTATATACTTAACAAAATTGAAACTAAAATTATACATAAACAAACAAATGCAAAAACAACAATATCTCCTGAAAAGAGATTATTTGTTACTTTAAGGTAATATATTTAGTTATTAATATATATACAAACCATTTAATATACTTAAGAACGGGCCTTAATTATTCACAACTATCTTATAGTAGCAGAATAAGCAAAAGTTGCATTGCTACTATCATTCCAGAGGTATGTGATGCTATATGGAAAACTTTAAAAGATATTCATATGCCAATTCCAACTAGAGAACATTGGGAGAAGGTATTATAAATTTAGATATAAATATATTTTTAGATTGCCCAAGAATATTTTGAAAAACATGGATTTCCAAACTGCCTTGGCTCATTGGATGGTAAGCACATAAGAATAAAAAGTCCTGCAAAATCTGGAACCCTTTTTTATAATTATAAAGCTTTTAAATCTATAGTGTTACTTGGTTTAGCAGATAGTAATTGCAAATTTATATATATAGATGTAGGATCTTATGGAAAACAAAGTGATGGTGGCACTTTTAGAAATAGTAGTTTATATCAAATTAAATTTTTAATGTTAATAAATAAAATTTAGTAGATAATGTTATTATAATTTAGTAGATTATTCTCAATGACTTTATAATAATACTACCCAGAATAAATTCAATAGTAATATAATATCCTTTCACAAACATCAAAACCAGAAAAATATAAATATTAATGGTATTTATTTGATACAAAGTCACTTTTAAGTCTTTTGAACGTATAATCTAAAAAAAAATTTGCTCTGGGAGGGGTCCAAACCCGAAAACCACCCCCGTAGCTACGCCACTGTGTTCTAGAATGTGCATTGAATGCACATTTGGGATAGCTACTGCTAAATTTGCCCTACTTTCTAAAGCTATAGAGTGTTCAGTTGAAAATGCTGATAAAATTATATCTACAATTACTCTTTTACATAATATTATTATTGATTATGATAAAATAGAATATACACCTAATATTTTACCTATTACTGAAAATTTAGGGATCAGTAGATCTTTAAATGCTTCAAGTTCTAATTCAAGAGAAATTAGAGAATTATTTAAAGACTATTTTAATTCTTAAATATATGCTTAATTTAACATTTTATCATTATATATGAAATAAATAAATTACTTCTGTATGTGTATATAAATTAATAAATTACTTTTGTATGTGTATATTAATCACTTATGTATGTGTATATAAATCATTTATTTTAATTTGATCTTATAAAATAATACATAACTATTTAAACATCAACATTTTCTACTATAATATTATTTATATAATTATAAATAAGAGTTTGCACATTAATTTTCATGGCGTCCTTAACTTCATTTGGCACCTTCTTTACATTATCAACCAAAGACAGGCACCATAATCTATCTGGGTCATTATCAATTTCTAACATTTTGTCAAAATATCTTTCCATTGGGTCTTTTGTTACTCTAGCCCTTTTTACAGGTCTTTCATTCTCTATATTATCTGTGATATTATTTAGTGTCTTTATTGGGCCGATTCCAAACACGACGTTTTTTCAAAGCGATAAATAACAAATTAAGCTTAATAGATGTGTGCTTCCAAACCAAACGATTTTTTCATGCATACGATTTTGCGATTATTTTAATAACAAACTAGCTTGATTTTTTTTAACGATTAAATGGCGTCTGATACAATTGAAATGAATAAGTAATTTTTTTATATTCAATAAATGAAATGATTTTAGAGGAAATTTTGTATCTGAATTGATAAATTTTGTAGAAGATCATGACGATTTATGGAACCAATCTAATGATAATTATTCTAATAGATTATTAGTAGATAAACTATGGACTTTATGTGCTAAAAAGTAGAACAAGACTTTATATTGAAAATATTGACTTTTATAATAATAATTTTTAATTAACAGACTTTTTAATTAGATACTATTTATTAGTAAGCATGGAATATAAATTTTAATAATTTATATCTTTATTTAAATAAAATCATTTTTTATCCTTTATTATTTACCAGGCTTGATTCATCCCCAAATGTCTGTAAATTAAAATGGAAGAATTTGAGGGATTCATATTTAAAGGAAAAGAGAAAGAGAGAAGAAGTCCATTCAGGGGATGCTGCAAAAGCTAGCACTCCATGGAAATGGTATGATTCACTATCATTTCTTACTACTTCCACCACACCAAGAAAGACACTAAATAATATCAAAGATAATATAGAGAATGTAAGACCTGTAAAAAGGGCTAGAGTAACAAAAGACCCAATGGAAAGATATTTTGACAAAATATTAGAAATTGATAATGACCCAGATAGATTATGGTGCCTGTCTTTGGTTAATAATGTAAAGAAGGTGCCAAATGAAGTTAAGGACGCCATGAAAATTAATGTGCAAACTCTTATTTATAATTATATAAATAATATTATAGTAGAAAATGTTGATGTTTAAATAGTTATGTATTATTTTATAAGATCAAATTAAAATAAATGATTTATATACACATACATAAGTGATTAATATACACATACAAAAGTAATTTATTAATTTATATACACATACAGAAGTAATTTATTTATTTCATATATAATGATAAAATGTTAAATTAAGCATATATTTAAGAATTAAAATAGTCTTTAAATAATTCTCTAATTTCTCTTGAATTAGAACTTGAAGCATTTAAAGATCTACAGATCCCTAAATTTTCAGTAATAGGTAAAATATTAGATGTATATTCTATTTTATCATAAGCAATAATAATATTATGTAAAAGAGTAATTGTAGATATAATTTTATCAGCATTTTCAACTGAACACTCTATATCTTTAGAAAGGGCAAATTTAGCAGTAGCTATGCCAAATGTGCATTCAATGCACATTCTAGCACTACTTAATTTATAATTTTAATATTTTTCTTCTGGGCTGGTATTCTTCGTAGGATAAGGTTTCATTAAATAATTTTTTAGTGGGAAGATACTTACTTTTCGTTTTTTTAAATAATGTCTCATAATAAAATATCTAGTTATAAGATTCATTTTTAAAAAATCAGCTGTAAAATATAAATCGTTGGCTGTTTGTAAGTAAAAAATATTGCGAAAAACGTGCCTCGGAAAACGTTTTGAAAAAACGTCGTGTTTGGAAGTGGCCCGGAAGTAGTAAGAAATGATAGTGAATCATACCATTTCCATGGAGTGCTAGCTTTTGCAGCATCCCCTGAACGCACTTCTTCTCTCTTTCTCTTTTCCTTTAAATAAGAATCCCTCAAATTCTTCCATTTTAATTTACAGACATTTGGGGATGAATCAAGCCTGGTAAATAATAAAGGATAAAAAATAATTTTATTTAAATAAAGATATAAATTATTAAAATTCATATTCCATGCTTACTAATAAATAGTATCTAATTAAAAAGTCTGTTAATTAAAAATTATTATTATAAAATAGTCAATATTTTCAATATAAAGTCTTGTTCTACTTTTTAGCACATAAAGTCCATAGTTCATCTACTAATAATCTATTAGAATAATTATCATTAGATTGGTTCCATAAATCGTCATGATCTTCTACAAAATTTATCAATTCAGATACAAAATTTCCTCTAAAATCATTTCATTTATTGAATATAAAAAAATTACTTATTCATTTCAATTGTATCAGACGCCATTTAATCGTTAAAAAAAATCAAGCTAGTTTGTTATTAAAATAATCGCAAAATCGTATGCATGAAAAAATCGTTTGGTTTGGAAGCACACATCTATTAATCTTAATTTGTTATTTATCGCTTTGAAAAAACATCGTGTTTGGAAGTGGCCCTAGACTGACGTTGCATTGATAATAATGCGTTTGAAAGCGTCGTTGTATGAAAATCAGCTGAGCCCGCCATTTTGGTAACTAAAAACTACTATTAAATTGATAACTTGCTTCTTTATTATCTCGGATGATCAGACGATTCTTTTATAAAGTTTGCGTCGGATAAAGGAATAAATTGGCCTATCGTTTGAAATTTTTAAATAAGGATACGGGTAACCAAAATGGCGCCCCCAGCTGTTTTTCATTGTTTTACACTTTTAACGAATGCATCGTCAGTCTAGGTATTATTAAATGTCATTGATATGTATATAGAATGACATTTTTTTTACAACGAAATGCCATAGCTCTAGAATAGAGTTTTTTTTTATAACAACACTAGTGTTACGACAGGCGCATGTATGTTGAAAGGACATCTTTTTAAACTGTAGGAATGGTTTGTGACTGCGATGAGCCATAATTCCTTATACAGAATCGTTAATTTATTATGGTCGTAAAATTCCAAATTGCATTAAATGGTCATATCACACGATAATATTTCAGGATAATCAATTTTTTATGAGCTTAGAAGTATCGGGTAATAGAAGAATGAAACGATTCTATTAAAGAATTGATGAAATTATTGATTAATTATGTTAGAATGGGCATATGGCCAAAAGATTTTGATCTTGCGAATCGCGATGGATCTGGCTTGCATTTCATATCATTATTTCTCATATACATAATCTAAATTTAATATTAATTTAAAATATTGCCGTATTTTTTTTTGAGAATTTGCATGCTAATTTCTAACTGGGCTATAAAAGTATTATTTTTTAGATTTTTATGCAATCAAATTGTTGGATAAATAGATCCTATAATCCGGAAGGGGGTGGGGACTTAAATTAATGGGGAGGGGGTGGTGCATCCAAAAATGCTAAAGATCGCCGAATTAAGATGTGCACTTATTAAAATTTGGATGGAGCTTGAACCCCCCATTATTACCTCCCTCCTTCTCCATTTCACAAATGACGCCCACTAACTGAAAATACTTATGTCTATCATTTAAAATAAATAATCATTCATTTTTTTAAACCCCCCCCCCAACACAGTCCATGTTTTTCATCTTAGCTCAAACCGAACAGGGCGACGTTTTCAAAATTACGACCGTCACCAAAAAATCAAACTTAGACCCCTCCCAGCAAGTCCCGGAAGATGAGTCCGCTTCTATCGTGACCGAGATTCGCCTCAAATATTTGGATACCCTACCTTGCCCCGCGGCTAGTCTGTGCGTTCTTAAGACGGGGTTTTTGTTCGCCGCTTCCGAGTTCGGAAATCAGTAAATATATAATCTCAAATCAATATGTGGTCTAGGAAAAAGAAAGCAATTAGGAGAATTGTCTGATATAAGATGCCAATCATCTTTCTTTGGATTGAAAACGTTTTTATTTTCGACGAACTTGAACGTGAAACCCGTTCCTTTTATGTTCGTTCAATTTTTAGAAAAATCTTCTTATTCTTATTCATTAGATAATAAAAAAAAATATTAATCAAAATTTTTTTAAGAAAAAAAATGGTTATTTTATTAATCAGCTGTTTCCTTTATCACATATGAATTTTTTTTTAACCTGCCACTATTTTTGTCCTATAAGTATAGTTTATTAATTTGAATATTATTCATAGATTAGCGTAAGCATGGATGTGTTATTTTCATTATCATCATCTGATTCTGAATTACCATGGTCCAAACATAATAAATATCTTCAATAAACTAATTCGATCTTTACCAAATGTAAAATGTGTTCCAAAAAAGTATTAATATCAATTTAAAAATCTTCATGTTCTAATATAAAGAGATACTGAATTGTAGTATTTATTATTTTATATGATATAACTATATTTACAGTATCATCATATCTTCAGTAAACTAATTACATCCTTACCAAATACAAAATGTGTCCAAAAAATTATAATATCAGTTTCAAAATCTTTATGTTCTAAGTTAAAGTAGATACTTAATTGTAGTATTCATTATTTTATATGATATAACTATATTTACAGTATCATCATATCTTCAGTAAACCAATTACATCCTTACCAAATACAAAATGTGTTCAAAAAATTATAATATCTGTTTCAAAAATCTTAATGTTCTAAGTTAAAGGGGATACTTAATTGTAGTATTTATTATAACCTACCCTGATTAAAACATTATGAATTTATATATTTTTTATAAATAATTAAATTTTATATGATATATAAAAGTTTATAGTAATTTTTTATTCACTTAACGACTATTAATTTTAAACATAGCCAATATATCGTGTTAAAAAAATATATATGGTATTTATTTATATTAAATTTAATTTAATAATAAAAAAAATTTATTCTTAAAGTTTTGTACGAACGTAATGCGTTGCCTTTTTTTTTGAAGATGAACGTTGAATGTGAACGCGTTTCGATTTAAAAAAAAATGTTTACAGCCATTAGATTAAAATATTAATTTGGGAGATTAAAGGCATGGGGAAGTGGAAAACAAAGAGTATAAGAGAAGGAAAAAAATGATTCTGCAAACCTCGGGGGACTAAATTTGAAATTATACTAATTTTATTTTCTTTCCCCAAGTTATCTCTACCAAATAGCCCATCTCGGAGACGACGATGACGAACCCGAGTTCAGCAGCTTCATGCCTCTGGAAGAAGGGGACACTTTTTTTTTCGCTCCAAGGGGACTCAAAAATTTTGTCCTGGTCGACGAGATAGACAGCCTCAGCCCCGTTATGAATTGTCAGGTTAAAACTCTTTTTAAATTGGTAAAATGATGTAACGATTCATTTCATGTTCATTAACTCATATGGTAGACATTTTGAATATTAAAAAAAATTATTATTAATAGATTAAATATATGTATTTAGATCATTGACATATAATAATGCCTAGACTGATTGATGCATTCATTAAAAGTGTGCATCAATGAAAACAGCTGGGGACGCCATTTTGACTATCCATATCTTTGTTAAAAAATGTTTTTTTAAACGAGATGCCAATTTATTTCTTGGTCTGAACGCAAACTTTATTAAAGAATTGCCTGATCATCGAGATAATAAGGAGGAAGCAAGTTCTCAATTTAAATAGAAGTTTTTTAACACGAGAATAATTACTATATGGGTTTTACCAAAATGGCCGGTCCAGCTGATTTGCGTTTCAACGACGCTTTCAAATTGCATTATAATGAATGCATCGTCAATCTAGGTATTATTACATGTCATTGATTTATTTAGATACAGAAAGAATGAAAGAAAGGGAAGCGAAGATAGACTAATTATATATTATAATTATCAGAGTTGTTAAAAGATACTTTTTAAGTGGATCTAGATACAGATACCACATTTTTATATCTAGATACAGAAACTAGATACTTGTATCTAGATCCTTTGACAACTCTGATTAATTATAAAAATGAATACAAATACAAACTCATCGCTTGAAATATGGAATGCTCTATTTACATTTTCTTTTTTAAATTGAAAATTAAAAAAAAACAAATTTATGCAGATAAATATGGCCTAGGTGTCCAAAATCATTTTAAAAAATAATTCGAAAAGTTTCAAAACTTTCGCAAATTTTAAAAATTTGTCTTAAAGTTTCGAAAGCTTTGTGAATATAATTCGATGTTTTGGACCCAGCTTTAAAGCAAAAAGGCCTTGTCTTGGCGATCTTATTTTTGAAAATGGGTTAAACGAATTTATGAATTAGGACACCCTATTTTTGGTATGCTTTAGATTTGTATTAATAATTTTGGTTTTGGAAAGAGTCATAGAAATACGTTTATCTACGATACAATTAGTATAGAGAAAGATATATAAGACGCCTAAACAGACTACCCCTTAAAAATAAGATGAACTAGGACAGGGTTTTAATTATTTTTACCCGAAATTCGAGCTAGCATGCGGTTTAAACGGAGGGTTAAAAAAAACAAGAAAGGTTAATATTTACCCCAATGTTTTTTTTATATAAATTTTATCAGTAATAAAAAAAAATGAAATTAGATAGCGGATTTGACGAACGAAGACACTCCTCAATTGTACACGGCTTGCGGGCGGGGGCCTAGATCATCTTTGAAAATCTTGAGGCATGGATTGGAGGTTTTATTATAACAAATTATTATTCTTCATAAATTCTGTTTCAACTCTAGCTAAAATCTTATTATCTTATGTTGAAGATTTATATGCTAATTTATGTTAAAATTAATATTATTATTTAAATTAAATTAAAAGGTTTTTTTTAAAAAATAATAGTTAATTAGAATATAATAAGGTTGTAAATTTTTTAAATTATATTTAAGATGGTGAATTAACCCTTTAAGTTCCCTGATAAAATTAATATGATGCAACACGATATTTAGTAATTTTTTTATTGATTCATGTATAGAATAATATGAAACCCACAAAAAAAAAACTTATTTTAATTTAAAATGGCGGCTCTCTCTGGTGGTTTCAAATTCATATCATAGACACCTTATGAAAACTTTCGAAACAGTTTCTATTTTTATTTAGACTTGACCACTCCTTTGGTTGATAGATGCGGCTATTATCAATTCATTCATAATCTACAATATTCTTACAGATAATAAACTCTCATTGAACGAGTTCCAAAGACAAATAATTGCTAGCGAATTGGCACACTGCAAAAATGTTGATAGGGATGATAATATTCAGAATGATAATAATTATATATCAATGCAAAGAAAAAATATTAAGCCTTATATCCTTCCAGAAATTAGACTAAAAAACTCAGCTCATCAACCTTAGACAGGAACCTCCAGTAGGTGTACCCACTGTAGTACAAAGTTAAATCCCAGAAGAACAAGGTGGTCGTGCAAATCATGCAACGTACCACTATGTCTAAATGAAAATAGAAACTGTTTCGAAAGTTTTCACAAGGTGTCTATGATATGAATTTGAAACCACCAGAAGAGAGCCGCCATTTTAAATTAAAATAAGTTTTTTTTGTGGGTTTTATATTATACTATACATGAATCAATAAAATTTTTTACTAAATATCGTGTTGCATCATATAGATTTTATCAGGGAACTTAAAGGGTTAATATGATATAAATTTATCGTTGTTTTTTTAAAATTTAAAATTAATTATTATAAATTATAATTCGTTTTTTTAAAAAAAATATTTTGCGATTTTTAAAATTTGATTAAATTTTAATAAATCTTTTGGTCCTTCATTTAGCAACATTTATACAATATTACCAGAGTTGTTAAAGGATCTATATACATCTAGATTCTGTATCTAGATATAAAAATGTGGTATTTGTATCTAGATAGATTTTTGATTAAAATATCTGTAGCTAGATATTATTTTTAAAGATGTATCTGTATCTAGATCCATTTAAAAAGTATCTTTTAACAACTCTGATTATTACAGATTACACTTTTATATATATATATAAATAATAAGTATTTATCTAGAAACTCAAGTGAAATTTTAATCGAATAGCGTTACAAATTATTGAATTCATAACGTTATTATTGTTAAGGTATCCGAAATGGCCGTCTCCGAGTTGCCCGGTAATCCAACAGCTGTTTGGACCGTTAAGAAAAAAGCCGACGGTAATTTGGAATACTTTATAAAAATATCATTATTATTTTAACTTATATATATATATATTTAGTTTATAATATTTTTGGAGATTAATGGCGGAAGCTATAACCGAAACTTTTATCTTGAATTGGGGTGGGGAGGGAGAGGTGGGGCGTTTAACTTTTTTTTCAAATTGTCCATTTCGATCGTATTATTTTCTATTGTCTTTTTTTCCCCATGATTTTTGGAATGAGATTCGTGAATGAGCAGCTTTATACAATTTATTTATTAAAATAGGAATAATTTGCGATAAACGGCTAAATTAGGTAATTATAAGCATAATTTATTCCATATTTATCGCTTAAAACGCAAAAAAGCAAAGTTCAAGACCCCCCCCCCCCCCCCCCTGACCTCTTACCATGATTACGGCCCTGGTGGAGATAATTGATGTTAATTTAGAGGATTTAATACATATCTTTAGTAGGGAGTGATTTCTAGATACATTTAGACTAAGGCCATACCAGAGAACGCATAATGTTAAAAGATAGCGAGTCAAGAATCGAGACATTTTACAAAATGGTCTTTTTCAAAAATAATATTTTCGATATTTTGAGCATTAACACATTAATATTTTTTTTATCGTCTGCTATACCAGCTGTATAAATTAACATAATTTAAAAGTGAACAAGTATATTACAATATTATTTAAAACTGCATAATTTGTAATAACTATACGTAACGAAAACGTTATAGAATTGGGTTTTAGGCCTCATTAATAGTAAACGCGTTATCTCCAGGCGTCGCGTTATTTAACACCGCATTATTTACAAGAAAAAGCCATTAAATAGATATAGATTTATAAATAGAGAGCGTTTGATAAAATTTGATAAACATATGTTACGATGCGTTGATAAAAGATATGCCCGAATTCGATATAAAGGGTATATGATTTTTCCTCAAATATTGTATAAAATAAAATATCTTAATTCTTAGCTTTATCTCAAATTAGTTTTTAAAACTGAATCGGCTGTAATAACGTTGCGCTTTAAAGCAACGCGACGCTCTAAGATAACGCGATGAGGCCCTATTTACAAAATTAGGCCAATAAATAAGTATAAATTTTTTATTAATATGGAGCGGTATGATTGATAACATTACAATTAGTTGCGAACGTATATTTTAAAAATCAGCTGTGATTTCGATTAGCGTAAAATAGGGCACTGCTTGAACATAACGCGTTTACTCTAAATTCAGCATTAGACTTAAACATAAATCAAACTTAATTTTGATGAAGATGATTAAATATTTATTTAATTAATACAGTAAAATCGATTCTTTTAGTAAAAGATTCATTTTTTGGGGGGAGTTTTAATTGTATATGTATCGAAAGGTAAAATAATTAATTTAGAATGGATATTATGCTGATAATTTATATCGCCTGCTTCGCCATCAGAAAATCTAATTGCACATGTCTGTCTCACCCATTCCTCTTCATTTTCTTTCACAGCACCTCATAACTCTTATTTTAGTTGCTGCTTTACATCTCTTCATCTATTTTTTTTTCTAACGCTTTCCTAACTTCTTCCTTCCAGAATCTAATGGTTGGATCTCTTCTCTAACCTTATCACAGGAGCACCTTTATCTCGTATCAGGTCAATTCAGCGAAACCTTTTATCGCAAAAAGGTATTTAGCGAAACATTTATCGCTATAGGAATTTTATAGCGAATATAACATAGCGAAACCATTCTCGTGAATTTTTTAATCCGCGAAACATTTATGGCGAGGACAATATCGCGAATTTATTTCCCCGAAATCTTAAAGTTTTTTTAATACAATTTTCCCAATCTCTCATTGGTTTTCGGCGTTACGTAATGTCATTTCATTATATTTTTTAAAAAATATAATTAAATGTTTTATTAAACAGACGAGTTCGATTCGTACATAGTGGTATCCTTCGTGAACGCTACCTTGGTTCTATCTATAGGCGAGACGGTGGAGGAGGTAACGGATTCCGGGTTTCTGGGGACCACCATGACACTGGCCTGTTCCCAGTTGGGAACCGAAGCTCTTATTCAAGTTTTTCCTTTTTGCAAAAGATAAATCAGGGGAAGGTAAAGGGTGGCTTTTCATAAATTATAGAGTTTTACGGGTCTACAAAATTTTTACACCAATCCGATTTATATGTACATGTTAGCGTCAATGTGTTACTTTCGGCAATGTGCACATTGCCTGATTATTTTAGGCAATGTGTTACAGTGGTAGGCAGGGTGAATTAGTTATTTAGGCAATGTATTTTATTTTACAAATTAATAAATTTATTATTTAATTTGATATTAATTTAATATTTATTTGAGAGGAATTTATAAATTTATTATTTTTATAATTTATGGATTTTATTAGATATATTTTTTAAAATAATATTATTAAGATTGTTCAATGTTTTTTGTATATTTTTTTGTAATTTATTTTGATGTGTTAATAAAATTTATTTGAGATAATTTGTTATATTATTTTTTTTAAAATATATTTTTTGATTTGATAATTGTTTTTAAACATAAATTTTTTAAATGATTTTTTTATATATTATTTTTTTAGGTACTTTTTATCTGATACATCTTTTGATCGTAAATATTTTTGAATATATATATTTTTTAAAGGATTTTTAATAAATTTATTTTATATGTACTTTTTTTGTGATAAATCTTTTGATCGCTATTTTTAGGTAAAAATATGTTTTGTAAACATGTTATATTAAAATTTCAGTGAAGATGGTACCATAGAAAAGTGACAATTGTCATAATCGTTATTTTTGAACCTTTTTGAATTTTTTAAAATTAAATAGGTAAAAATATATATTGTAAACATGTTAAATTAAAATTTCAGTGAAGATGTACCATAGAAAAGTGACAATTGTCATAATCTATATTTTTGAAATGTTTTGAGTTTTTTTAAAGTAAACAGGTAAAAATATATATTGTAAATATGTTAAATAACAAAATTCCCTTTTAATTATTATAATCAAAATTAATGATGAGTTATTTTCCTGCAAATCGTTAATGCTTTGATTTTATAAAAACTCGAGATATAAAAATTTCGGTGAGATTTATTATGACTGTATTAATGACTTAAAATAATAAAAATTCCACTATTATAATTAAACTTTACTCTTCACAGCAATCAGAAAGGTTTTTAACATAATGTATAATAGTTCGCAGATGTATAATTAAGGCATATTTTAAAATTAATTTACTATTGCTATAAATGTTTACTAAATATATTGAAATAAAGAATCCTGCATCTTCTGTATATCAACTAACTATAATATCTTTGACATATTTATTTCTAATCTTATAAGTAAATATTATTTTAGATATTTATTCACTTTTATGAACTATCTAATTACAAGTTTATTGGAATATTATAGACAATAACTAAGATTATATGCCAAACACTATAAGTGTATCTAAGATTTTTGCGAGAGGTGAAAACCTTTGGGTAATTTTTTTTACATAATTTAATTGAATAATGTTAGACTCCCTCTTTTGAAGGCCTTTGGCCCATTTTATATTTTAAATTTTATTTTGGTTTATACTCCTTTTTAAAATTTTTAATACTTTCTTATTATTTTTATGACATCATATACACATTTTTTAGTTTTTTGATAAGTGATAAATACTTTATAATTTTTAAAATAATATTTACCAATATAGATTTGCCGTTTATACGCTAGAATTTTTTTTATGTCAAAATACATTTTTTACGTCATATTCTTACCAGAAATCCTGTGGCAAGTCTTCCCTATAAAATCTCGCAAGATTTTAGCTCTTGACAAATATAAAAAAAAATGTTTTTTTATTTTGAATATAATTCAACATAAATTAGTAAATAATCATTTTTTTTATTTTCACAATATAAATGTAAAATATTTACAGAATGACACTGAGAATTGCAAGACACATTAGACACCCTGCATTTACATCTATTTGTTATGCAATTTTGTTTACAACGACAGATTGTATTCATTATTTCTCTGACCCTGATTCTGAGTCTATTTCATCGATGGCACCTAAATATCATAAAAACATTTTTACAAAAATTTAATGTGTCTTGCAATTCTCAGTGTCATTCTATAAATATTTTATATTTTTTTAAATACAAGTAACATTGTTTATTAATGGATTTTGTATTGTAGAAGACTTAAAGCTTAGGACGATATATTATTTTAATATTAAATTGATGTTTTGAAGAGTTATACAATGATTTCTATTTTAATATTAAATTGATGTTAATTTTGTATATATACTTAAATGATCATACATCTATTTGTTATGCAATTTTGTTTACAATGACAGATTGTATTCATTACTTCTCTGACCTTGATTCTAAGTCTATTTCATCGATGGCACCTAAATATCATAAAAACATTTTTTGCAAAAATGAATTATGTAATAAATCGCCTGAATATTTATTTTTTATAAGTAAGTCATAATTTATTAATATTAAAAAGGGGTGAGAAATTAATTGACGGAAGTGAAATTTCAGCGCTGGGCTGATTGGATAACTCGAAGAAAAATATTCATGAAATTTTATATATTTTTTCTAAATTACCTTCATTATCAAATTTATTCGAATATATTAAATGTTTTTGCGCGCTTTCTATGAATTAAGAAATTAATTTTTTTTGCAATTTTGAACATAAATACCTGATAAATTGGGAAAATGACTCTGAGCACCCTTTAGTTGATCTCCTATAATTAAGGGGTTTACCTCTTGACAACCCAAATTATCTATAAAATTAAACAAATTATTTCACAAAATAATGTATTACGAAAAGGCATTGTATGATCCATTGATGGATAATATTTTTGAATTGAATTAGAAGAATTTTCATTGTCATCTATAAAATATTATATGTTAACTAATTTGTATAATTAAATAAAAATATATACCAGGATCTCTATTCAGCTTGCCGGTAATTTCTCCCCCATTATCTTTAGATTAACAAAATTAGTTTTCATAAAAAAAGTATTATATAAACTTGGGATATAATGATGTAGTGCATCAACACCTATTTGTTCATTCAGGCTAAGATTATTATCCAAAGCATTTGTAAAATAATTTTTGAAATGCATTAATAAATAAATTATAAACCAATAAGTAGTGAATCTGAATAATCAACCAGGTTCTCATCAAAACTCAAATCATCACCCAAATCAGCTGTAAGATATGATATTTTAATTAAAAGTATCTAAGTAAAAAAAAATATGTACCAGAATATTTTGATGTACTAGCTTCTAGCAGCGAATCCCTAATGTTTTCCCAAATTCTTTTCTAAATGTAATAATTTTACAAATGTATCTAAATAAACAATATAATATATACCAAAATATTGAAACGGTCTTGGTTTTTTGAGTAAATTACCGCTACTCATGTCAGCTGTAAATAATATTCTAACGTAATGTATAAACATAAATATGTACCTGGATCTTCTGATGGATTAGACTCTAGCAGCGAATTCGTAATGTTTTCCGAATGTGAAAAGGCATTGTATATACCTAGATCCATTGATGGAAAATATTCTTGAATTGAATTAGAAGAATTTTCATTGTCATCTGTAAAATATTATATGTTAACTAATTTGTATAATTAAATAAAAATATATACCAGGATCATTCGAATCTTCATAATCTACCAGATTTTGACAAAAGCTCTTATCATCATCCAAATAAGCTATAAAATATTATAAAGAAATTATCGTATTAAAAACCTGTATCTTCAGATTTATCTGGTTTAAGTGAATTTATAATTGCATAGATATAATTCAATTATACCTGGCATAGAGGAATCCCAGATGTTAGGTTTGTGTCCAAACATAACCTCATAGGGTGATGCCTTGATTCCTCTATGATACGATATATTCTTTTGGAATTATATCGTCCCTAAAGCATCAGCCCAACACGTTGTTTTCTTATTACGAAGAAAACAACGTAATTTATTCTAAAAAAAATTAAAACTAAATTAATTTACTTTGTATTAAGATAAATACCATAATATCTTTATCAGCACGCTCGACAACTGAGATTGGGAGTGCCTTCGGCCTTCCATCCACCATTTTACATCCTGGCCACGTGCCCACGATCTTTTGATTGGTCTAAAAACATATTGACTTACTTGTATAGTAATTATTACAATGGTATTGATCGGAGAGTCCAAACCGTTGGAAGCGAAGCGTGTTAATAAAGGATATTATGGTATTTATCTTAATTCAAAATAAATAAATTTAGTTTTATTTTTTTTTTAAAGAATAAATTACGTTGTTTTCTTCACGATAAGAAAACAACGTGTTGGGCTGACGCTTTGGGAACGAATTAAACTGTAATATTATTTAAATTTTTTAAAAATATTTGTATGCATGGCCTTGGCTCTTAAAATTATAATTGCAAAACCCACTGCGCATGTCGGGAAAACCTATTAAATTATCGTCTTATCTTTTATTTTAACCTATTGTAGATTTTATCTTTAATATTTTTTCCATATGGATAAAATTGTAAATTATTTCAAAAAGGTTCCAGAAAAAAAAATATCGTATCATAGAGGAAACAAGGCCTCACCCCTGTGAGATTATGTTTGGGCACAAACCTAACATCTGGGATTCCTCTATGCCAAGTATAAATTTACTTAAACCAGAAAAATCCGAAGATCCAGGAAAAGATAACATTTTTACTGAAATTTTAATTTAACATGCTTACAAATATATATTTTTACCTATTTAATTTAAAAAAACTCAAAAAAGTTCAAAAATAACGATTATGACATTTGTCACTTTTTCTATGGTACATTTTCACTGAAATTTTAATTTAACATGTTTATATTTTTACCTAAAAAATCACCGATCAAAAGATATATCAGGAAAAAATAGGTAAAATAAAATAATCTTATAAAATATTTGAAAATAATCTTAAAAATTATTCAAAAATAATCTTAAAAAATATTTGGAAAAAAATATTAAAAATTAGCGATCAAAAGATATAGCAGGAAAAATATGTAAAAAATAATATTAAAAAATATTAAAAAATCAGAAAAAAATATGTAAAAAATAATATTAAAAATATTAAAAATTAGCGATCAGAAGGTAAAAAATAATATTAAAAATTAGCGATCTAAAATCATTTTGTAAAAATATTATATTTTAAAACAAATTATATTATCTAAAAAAAAATTATAAATTAAGTAAAAATAATAATCTTAAAAAATTAATAATAATAAATTAAAATATTGTTAATAATATAATATTACAAAAATAATACATTGCCTAAATAACTAATTCAGCTTGCCTACCACCGTAACACATTGCCTAAAATAATCAATACAGTGTTGTGATGATTTAATGAAACATATTGACGATTAAATTAAAACCCATTCATATGAAATTATATTCTTACACTGAGATTTAGTCGAAATGAGAACGTGAATAAAGCCTTTATTTGGGAAAACTAAATTAAATTCTTCGTTTAAGTAAAGTTTTTATCTTTAAGAAAAAGAAAAAAAACTATTTATCTAGATAATATAAAAATTTATATGATCAAAATCTTTTTCTAAAAAAACATATATATATATCACGAATAACATTTAATATGTTCAATTTACATAATACTGTAATTCTACCTACCGAGAAGGGTTTAACTCTGTTGGCGGCTTCACTCAAAATAACACATTCGAAATCTATATAAAAAAAGATTGAAATATTTTTTTTTCTTTTAAAATAATTTTTATCTATAAACTGGACTGGAAGACTTTTCTGAATGAGTTATAAAATATATAAATTTTTAACTTATTTCTTCAATTGTTTATTTTATTTTCTATCAAATTTACCTTTCTTATATTAAAGTTTCGAAAATGACTTGTGAAATCTTTATTTAATGTAAATTTTATTTACATAATAAAAAAGATCAAAAAATATTTATTTTTTCTTTTGTATTGCACATAATATTACGAAAAAAATATATATTTATATTATATAATATCTAGTGTAATAATTTAATAAATTAATTGTTCAAAGGAATAGATCGGATTCCCTCTTCGATATATCGTATCTAATGTTGGTAGAAGGCTGTGAAATTGGAATTAGTGAAATTAAGCAATAGGCTAGTAATTGCTTCAATTATATGAATTCTGTTATTGGGTTTGGGATATCTAGAGCGATACTGATTTTTCGAAACGCCAAAAAGTTTCTCAATGGGGTTTAATCGAGGGGAATAGGGTGGAAGATATACTATATTTTGATAGTTTTCTGTTATTATATGAGCTCGGTGAATGGGTGCATCATCCATTATTATTAGCGAAATTCAACGGTAAAATGGATGATAATTCATCCAGGTAAGTTTTGAATTTTATTGATGTAAATGCCCCGTCTATAATCATGTATTTTTTGAGACCATTAATTCCTATGGTAGACAAAACCGATACGTTTTTCCCCTTTGAAGGAGGGAGCTTGACGGATGGCCTCTTACCCAGAGGTGCCCATCCATAGTGGGAAATGACGTGGGAATTGAAGCCTATTTTATCTAAATAGAATATATTTTGAAATGGCACGTTCATCATTTTTAGGCAATACTCTCCAATAATTATAACATCTGGGGAATTCCGTCTATCGGGTTATTTTCTAGCCCTTTTTCTGCTCCACCCCATTGATTTAATGCATCTAGATATTCCCGAATCACTCATTTTGAGATGAGGTGGTAAATTTTTCACTATATTTTTTATCGTCAATCCATTATTATGTTCTAGTAGCTGTATAATTTTAGATTTTAATTCTGAATCATCCTTTTTGTTCCTTCTTCTTTGATGGATTATGTAATCGGCCAAGTGGTCACCGTAGTATTCGGGGAATGTTATCCTTTTGAAACGGTATACCGAAGCAATGGATAAATTGAGATCATGGGCCATTGTCTTTGCGCTTGGCTGTTCAAATTTAGGTTTACTAAGCCATTTTTTTGCTATGGCTATTTTTTCCTGACTCCAATTGCCATATTTCTTCTGTGGTTTATGATAGGTATCAGAGTTTGTTGTAGAACCAATTATTTGATTAGATAAAGAAATATTTGTTATGTCAAATAAAGCTGAATGTGAAATATTTTGAGAATAAGTTGATTCTTCCTGTGAGTAAAAATCTAAAAAATTATACATAATAAAACAATATAATGTTAAATGTTAAAAACCTGTAGATCGTAGAAAAGGTCTAAGATACGGGAGATAGTGAAATTATTCATAATAAATAAGTTAAGAAAAGTTTAAAAAAATAATTTATAAGTTTTTAAAAAAAATTTTAAAGAAAAAGAATTGTTTTAATTTTTTTTATATATGTACATAAATACAAATGTGTTATTTTAATTATTTTTGCAAGCAATATACTTATACATGGATGGATTTTAATTTAATCCTCAATATGTTTCAAATCATCACACTGTATATCCCAAATGTATAATATATCTCAAATGCATTAGATAAAAATTAGCCTTGATTATATATCCAATCTTTATTGTCTCAAATTAATATATTCAAAATAATTTTTATATATGTACATAAATACAAATGTGTTATTTTAATTATTTCTGCAAGCAATATACTTATACATGGATGGATTTTAATTTAATCCTCAATATGTTTCATAAAATCATCACAACACTGTATATCCCAAATGTATAATATATCTCAAATGCATTAGATAAAAATTAACCTTGATTATTTATCCAATCTTTATTGTCTCAAATTAATATATTCAAATTAATTTATATATATGTACATAAATACAAATGTGTTATTTTAATTATTTCTGCAAGCAATATACTTATACATGGATGGATTTTAATTTAATCCTCAATATGTTTCATAAAATCATCACAACACTGTATATCCCAAATGTATAATATATCTCAAATGCATTAGATAAAAATTAACCTTGATTATTTATCCAATCTTTATTGTCTCAAATTAATATATTCAAATTAATTTATATATATGTACATAAATACAAATGTGTTATTTTAATTATTTCTGCAAGCAATATACTTATACATGGATGGGTTTTAATTTAATCCTCAATATGTTTCATTAAATCATCACAACACTGTATATCCCAAATGTATAATATATCTCAAATGCATTAGATAAAAATTAACCTCGACTATATATCCAATCTTTATTGTCTCAAATTAATATATTCAAATTAAATTCAATACAAACATAAAAAAATAAAAAAGAAAAAAAAAATATTCAAATTAAAAAAAATCATAATGAATGAATGTCTTCGATTTCCCTATTTCTTCTACCTATTTATCACGACATACATCTTCATATAATATTACACCGATATTTTCCGATATTCACCCAAATCCGACCCGATAACCGAAAAGTCGTGCTTAATTTTACGCCCAAAAAGCGTGACGTCATAGTTTTAATTTTGATCGCAAAATGGATCGAAGCTATTAATTAGTACTAAGTTTAATTACTAATTTATGGTACTAAAAATTGATAAAAATTTTTCAGAAAAAAATGGCTTTTAAGTCGCTTTTCGATCTGAAAGTTGGTCCGTACGCCTGTGTTAATTCCATTACTTTACTCTATTAAATTTGCAAATTTTAATTTTATTTCTTTTTTTATAGGTGTACCCCGATGGTATAAGGCATATAAGATCGGATAAAAGGGTCAACGAATGGAAAACCCCTCAAAGGAAACAGATAACTAAATGCGCCCTCAATAATAGGCAGGTGGTTATAGCTCTAACCGGCGGGGAAATCGTTTACTTCGAAATGGACCCGGTAATATACTCACTTTCATGGGGAACGTTCTTTTTATGTTTACATTAACACAGTACCAATTAAGACGTGGCATAATGTTTATTATATAAAAAAAACCGATATTATTAAATATTCGTTACAAAATAGTGTTGAGTGAACAAAAATTTACACCCACGAACAAGTTCCATATATAACAGGGTTTTTACTCCTTTTTTTATTACAATGTTAGAACTATAATTTAAATCAAGAAATCTCTGTTCTAGTGTTTGTTAAACGGCTCAGAAAAAAAAATATTTCCTAAGCCTCGAGGTTTCGATAATGTATGTTTATACCCTTTGTTCCTTCTATGAACAAAACCTTCGGGCTTACGTAATATTTTTATGGATGAAATATTGAGTTAGCCGTTTTTAAAAATCGGCTCAAAACGAGCCGTTTAACAACACTACTCTCTGTTCATCAAAAAAGTATTTTTTTAGAGGTTTTGTTTAGGATAAATTTGGGAATCGATTATAACAGTTATCCTAATTTTTTGCTCGAGGAAATTTTTTTAAAAATAAATTAAGCTGCTATATCCGATATTTATCATTCGATCATTAAAATCTTTTCACAAATGTCAACGGAATTATCCCACGTTTTTTTTGTTTCTTTTGAATTATGTATCACGGTATATGGAAATACTTTTTTTTTCATTTCATGAATGGCGTACAGTCAGGTCAACTTAACGAATACACGGAACGCAAAGAACTTCCATCCACCATTATATGTATGGGACTGGGTAACGTACCGCCAGGTGAACAGAGGTCCAAATTTTTGGCAGTCGGTCTGGCCGATAATACTGTCAGGATAATATCCCTCGATCCTATGGTAATAATTTTATTCTCGTTTAATTTGGTTATGATGACGAACCTTCAACTACATTTTCTCTAATTTATTTTATAGAACTATTAAGAGTAATTTTGGCAAATTATGTTCCTTAATATAGTTTCTTTTTCTTATATTTATTATGGCTAAAGAATGATTGATACCGAAATAAAATATTTATTTATTGTAACCCCCCCCTCCCTCTACATCGCTCTCCTTTCGTACCTCTCCCCAAAAAGACTTGTTTATCTCCGTTAAGTATGCAAGCTCTTCCGGCCACGCCCGAATCACTCTGTATCTCGGAAACCGGTAATATTATGGCTGACAGTAAGCAGCCCACGATCACGGAAGAAGGCGGGGAGGCTGGTTCTAACGCGAACGCGAACAAAAACCTTAACCTGGCCGGCAATTACTTTCTGAACATTGGATTGCAAGTTTAGAATTTTGTGTTTAGGAGATTTTTTTTATGTAAGGGGGGTGAGGTGTTAAAGAGTACTAATAATCTCTTGAAAACAATGCTTCATCTAAAAAAGAGTTAAACGTGTTTCCATTTCCATGATTATACAATTTCTGAATTTTATGATAAATTTGAGATAACTGAATTAAGCGAAAGATTTAATTGGGCGAATGAGCGAAAAAAAATCTTGGCCTGGGTCTTTCTGCAATTACCTTCTAAATACTGGATTCCAAGTGAAAATTTTGTGTTCAAGAGATCTTTTTTTTATAAAGGATGAAGTGTAAAAGACGGTTAAGATCTCTTCTCTTCTCTTCTCTTCTCTTCTCTTCTCTTCTCTTCTCTTCTCTTCTCTTCTCTTCTCTCTCTTCTCTTCTCTTCTCTTCTCTTCTCTTCTCTTCTCTTCTCTTCTCTTCTCTTCTCTTCTCTTCTCTTCTCTTCTTCTTCTCTTCTCTTCTCTTCTCTTCTTCTTCTTCTTCTCTCTTCTTCTTCTTCTTCTTCTTCTCTTCTCTTCTCTTCTCTTCTCTCTCTCTTCACGGCCAATTTCATAAGCAAATACGTATTATATTTCCTTTGAAATTTAGTGAAATATTCGAAAAATAAAATATTATTAAATAAACTCGTAGAATGGTGTATTACTGAGAACATCTCTAGATCAAGTTACGGGCGATCTTTCCGACACCAGAACGCGTTACCTGGGATCCAAAGCGGTTAAATTATTCAGGATCAGGATTCAGAAAACTGAAGCGGTATTTTATTATTTAAAATTATTTTTTTGTTTACTTATTATTCATTAATGTATACATGAATGAGAACGGCGGTGGTGAGAATAGGGCCCAAAAATATTTGGAGGAGTGCGGGGAGGTGGTAGACCACCGTGTGTTGCCTTCCATTCAAATTAACTGATGAATAATTTATCAGCAAAAAAAAATATACAATTTTGAATACCTTGATCATAAATTTTCTGAATCTAATTAAAATTCCAGCATTCTTTACGAGATTATAAGTATTTTTTTGATCAATAATCGGTTATAAATAATATAAATGTAAGCTATTAAGCATTGTCTATCCATTGGGTGTCCTAAGTGCGATATCCTTTTTTTTAAAATTTTTTTCATACTGATGGATATATAGAGAGGATTTAAGATTTGTCGAAGTCATGGGATAAAACATTTGAATGGAAGGGGGGGGGGGGTGGTAGACCACCGTGTGTTGCCTTCCATTCAAATTAACTGATGAATAATTTATCAGCAAAAAAAATATACAATTTTGAATACCTTGATCATAAATTTTTTGAATCTAATTAAAATTCCAGTATTCTTTACGAGATTATAAGTATTTTTTGATCAATAATCGGTTATAAATAATATAAATGTAAGCTATTAAGCATTGTCTATCCATTGGGTGTCCTAAGTGCGATATCCTTTTTTTTAAAATTTTTTTCATACTGATGGATATATAGAGAGGATTTAAGATTTGTCGAAGTCATGGGATAAAACATTTGAATGGGAGGGGGGGGGGTGGTGGTAAGATTGGTTAGAAGTTATGGATAAGGTTAATATATAGATCAATTAAAATGCCTAGGTAAAATACAAATTTCTAAAGGTTAAAAAAAATTATTTATATCTTAGTTTTAATTTCTCTTCATCCACTCTACATAAGTCTATAAAATTAAATTATCGGATACATTTAAATAAATTTAATAATTATATTTCGTCTCATTTAATCTAATAAATAATAGGTATTTTATTGTAGTTATTTTTATTAAAAATTATTAGAATAAGAAGAAAAAAAATCTATAAATAATATTTAATCTGCAAAGGTGAAGTAATAAATTTTTGAAAAATTAGACATTTTGTAGCAAATCATAATTTTCATTTCTATATCAAAAATCGTAAAAGTTCGATTATAATTTAATTTTATAATTAATGATATTTATTTTAATATTTAAATTTTAATATAATTAAAATAATGGAAAAAAAAATATTACGTTTACCGAAAAATCAATATAAAATGCTGGCAAAGAAAATGTAAATACTTGGCAAATCTGATTTAAAATAGTGAAAAAGATGGTATATTAATTAAAAATTTTATACGGCTTGCTTTTTACTAATATTATATTAATAACTTACTTATAATCCTAAAAAAAGGAATATTTAGAAATTAAAGAAATAAGAAGGCAGACGATAATATATTTTTCATAGACAAATCCTTTTTTTAGAACTTAAAATTTTGAATCGACGGATATTAATGGAAAAGAAAATGTAAATACTTGGCAAATCTGATTTAAAATAGCGAAAAAAGATGATATATTAATTAAAAATTTTATACTGTTCCCGAAAAATACTGACATAATAATTAATACTGGTAAAACGAATTAAGTAGTAATTTTATTATTAGGAAAAATATTTTTTTGTAATAGCGCGCACGAATTGAGCATTTCAAACGCTGCGTTGCTAGCACAAATAATGCATTTCAATTGGCCTCATTCAAATTTGGTAAGATTACCGTTTGGTTTGGCGTTAGCAACCATTTAAAAAAAACGCAAAATAGGCTTGCCTTTTTCTAATATTATATTAATAACTTACTTATAATCCTAAAAAAAGGAATATTTAGAAATTAAAGAAATAAGAAGGCAGACGATAATATAATTTTCAAAGACCAAATCCTTTTTTTTAGAACTTAAAATTTTGAATCGATATTGGCTTGTTTTTTCTAATATTATATTAATAACTTACTTATAATCCTAAAAAAAGGAATATTTAGAAATTAAAGAAATAAGAAGGCAGACGATAATATAATTTTCAAAGACAAATCCTTTTTTTAGAACTTAAAATTTTGAATCGATATTGGCTTGCTTTTTCTAATATTATATTTAATAACTTACTTATATCCTAAAAAAAGGAATATTTAGAAATTAAAGAAATAAGAAGGCAGACGATAATATAATTTTCAAAGACAAATCCTTTTTTTTAGAACTCAAAATTTTGAATCGACGGATATTAATAAAAAAGGCAACCTCAATTAAAACGAGGGATGCGTTACGTTTTTTTTAATTAAAAGATTACGGCAAAACGTAAACGCTCAATTTGTGTGCACTTTAATTTCGAATAAATACTGAAGAAATAAATAAAAAACCCTTTATTTTAAAAAAAATAAGTTGTCATGTAATTGTTATTTTTTTTTAAAAAAAAAGGTACTCGCCATTTCTAGCCGAAGCTGGCTGAGTTACGGGTACGAATCGCGTTTTCACTTGACGCCCCTCTCCATATTCGATAGCTCCAACCCGTCCTCTCAGTCCGCTTCCGGTGCGGCAGCAGCTGGATCCTCAGCTTTGCTTCACGCCTCTTCGTTTTCGTCGGAACAATGCCCGGAAGGCGTAGTGGCTATATCTAGCAATAGTCTGAGGTTAAATCATAATGTATTTATCGAGATAATGTTACTTTTTAGCCTAATTGATCCTAATCCGACTATTTGCTTAGGCGCCTCGAAAAAAAGAGCTGAACCCCTGAGGATTTAACCAATGAAAATATCGGCCCGCGTTTGATTTTAGCATATTATTTTGCAAGTCTAGTACTTGGCATAACAAATAGTTATCCAGATAATTTGAATCTGAACCACATATTGACACTGACAAATTATATTCGTATATTTCTATATAAATTTTTAAAAAATATTAGAATTTTAGCCCTGGAAAAGCTTGGAGGCGTTTTCAATCAAACTCCGCTCCCGTTAAAATACACTCCCAGGAAGTTCGTCATCCACCACGAAACGGGCAGTTTGATCATCATCGAAACCGATCATAACGCTTACACCCAGGAGAGCCAACAGATCAGGAAACAGCAGATGGCCGAAGTTTTGTTTATATTATGATTATTTAATACTAATTGAAGTTTCCATACTTCCTTGTAATTGAGAACTTTGCATACAGGTATACCGCTTTCTAAATATCGTAACGCCGAAGTTGATCATTCGTGTTTTAAAACGAAAATATGTTAATTAACCGATCCTATCCGATATAGCAAAATGGGATAGATAAGCTAGAGTAACCTCGTAACTTCAAGTCCACTAACCTCCCCGGCCACTAAATTGGGCCTCCCGATTTGTTTCTAATTTCTTATAAATATTGGCTCCCCAAGTAAACTGTTGACCTCCCTCAACTGAAACTTGTTTGCTATGGGCCTGGATATTAATTTTTTTACAAGAATATTGAATTATTTTTCAAAATTTCAGATCATATTAGTTTCATATTTTTTTTTAAAATAACTACTAGGAAATGGTAAAATCGGCGGGAGACGAGGAGAAAGAGATGGCGGCCGAGATGGCGGCAGCGTTTCTCAACGAGAACTTGCCGGAAACCGGATTCGGTTCCGCCAAAGCCGGACCCGGAATGTGGGCCTCGCTGATTCGGATCATCCAGCCATCATCCATCGTGGGCAAGATTGGGGACAATATCGACTCCTTTTGCTCATTCGTGTCCCCCCTACCCCAGAACGAGGCCGCCATTAGGTTAGAAAAAATAAAATTTGTTCAGGATCGAAGATCCATGGTAGAGAGTAGCTGTATTAAGGTCCCACTTAATCGGGTACAAATAGTGATCCGTTTTTTTTGCAGCACGAACTTTTTAATGTCATCGATCGAATACATCTGATACGTATACGTCAGTCAATTGTAAATCTTTTTTTTTTAAACCATCTTTATCCAACTTCCCTTAGGTTTCTTACCATCTATATTCGTACTTAATCCAATTCACATCTATGTCGCGGACATGGCCTACCCACCTTTGGCGAAAACTATTTTTGTGTTTAGATAAAATATGGATATTTTGCCAATTTCTCTATGCGCAGGCGCTCATTGACTGGGGAAGGGCGGGGAGGAGGAAGGCCATGCATCGCGAGACAGAGAAGATTGGTTTTAAAAAATGACAACGTTGAAAATAGTTTGGTAAAGATGGCGAAGCGAGATGTGCAACTTACTGCCTTGAGAATATCGGATGCATAAAAAAACAAAGACTAACACTTTGTAAATAGGGGGAAAAAGTCTTAAATTCGACGACGATGTGTTAATTAGGGATAAAAAAAATGAAATTTAATATAAATTAATAGCAGTTTTAAGTAATAAAAAATTTTTTTGAGTTTTTTTTTCTCTAAAAAAACAGGATTTTAATCTCGAAAAAAACATTATCCTCGTAAAAGACAGGTTTTTTATTCTGAAAAAAAAACGTTTTTTATTGATAAATAAATGATTTGTTGTTTGTTTAAAGCATTGCCATGACGAATTTCAACAACCGACCTCCTTACGAACAATACGTGGTCATAGGTGTGGTCAGAGATCTCAATTTGCAAACCAAACAAAACACGGGCGGTTTCTTATACACTTATCTCTGGAAAGGTCATTTTTACAATTTAAAAAAAATAAACGTAGTCAGCTGTTTACCCCATTTTTTTATGGTCTTTGCAACGTTGATTAAATGACATTCGAAGAAAAAATATATCCTAATTTTAGAAATTAAATTTTTTTGAAAAAGAAAACAATATAATTATTTTTTCAACTTTGAAATCATTTTTTGAGCTAGTGTTATCGGATTTTACCGGAAATGTAATTCCATCATGTTTGGATTACCTACTCTATGAATTTCAGACAATTTTGCTCTGGAAATGTATATGAATTTCAGACAATTTTTCTCTGGAAATGTAATTCCATCATGTTTGGATTACCTACTCTATGAATTTTCAGACAATTTTTCTCTGGAAATGTAATTCCATTATGTTTGGATTACCTACTCTATTGAATTTCAGACAATTTTTCCACGAACTCTTGAGCTCAATATAATTTATATATCGTTTTTCCGTAGATTTTTATATGTAAATTATAAAGGACTCTAAGGTTAGCGGCAAAATTTTCTTCAATTCATAAGATTTGGTAATCTAAACATGCTGGAATACATTTCCGGTTAATATCCGATTTTTAAATTTAAAAAAAAACGCGCAAAAAAATGATTCAAAGTTGAAAATAAAATAACACGTTGCCCTGAAAAAAAGGACCCTAACATATATATATTTATATATATCATTGTTTCAAAATATTCTTGCTATTCATAAATTATAATTTAAACTTTTTGTGTTAAATTGCTAAGTACAAAATTTTTTTTTTTTAAAAGTAGTATTAATAATAAATATTTTGATAATAATAAGAGGCCTCTGCGTGCCCAGACCGAAGCTCGGCCCGGGTAAACGGGTTGAACCGGTTTATCTAAAAAAATTATGAACCCGTGTCAAACCCAACTAATTTTGTATACTTAACCACAAATTCTCGCTAACTGTGAATACAGGGTTACAAAAAATTGAAAGTCTATGATAAAGTGAGCTTTGGGTTATTGTCTAGGAAAATAGGAAGTTTTGAAATTAATCCAAAGAATAAATAACACAATTGAGGGTAGGGGAAAATATATATATTGTATAAGTTTATTTGAAGATTATTTTCTAAGGATTTGTGGCAACATGTAATCAGCTTCTAAGATAATAATTATATTAATGTAGGCATATTAAGTTTCATTTTGATTAGTTATTCAGGTCAGGAGTTTTATGAAGTGATTGATTACTGGGCCCTTTTCTATAGGAAATAATTATAACGTTATATAAATATATTCCTTAATTTATCAATTCAAATCTTATAACCGAACCCTAATTTAGACGCCAAGTTAGAATTCGTTCACAAAACGATGGTAGAGGATATTCCAGGGGCCTTAGCTCCTTTTCAGGGTAGACTTTTGATAGGAGTAGGCAGGTACCTTCGGGTGTACGAGATGGGCAAAAAGAAGTTGCTGAGGAAATGCGAAAATAAGGTTTTTGTTTATGAAATTGTTCTACAAAAAAAAACAAAAAGTTAAAAAAGTCATAATAATTAAAAAAGCTCGTCCCTTTTATACTTATTTTTGGGACAAAGAAATCACGTGTTCTACACGTAATATAAAATCACGCCACTATTTATAAATATGATAAATATTAAACAAAATAATTTTAAATAATAATATGACAAATATTACACCGCGAAATTAATATTTATCTTTTATATAACCAACATATACCTATTTTTAAGTTTTAAAACTTTTGATTAACTCCCCCCCCCCTTCAGAACTGATATTTAAAATGTAAAAAAAAACATTTATTTCGCCTTTTATCGCACTCTCTTTTTTTACAGTATAATTTGTAATACCCTCATGTAGGGTTGTTAAGAAGCCAAAACCAACCCCATAAATATTTTAGCCCTAAGTAATATTAATGTAATCTTCGAGATTTTTGCTCATAGTTGGCAGAATGGACCCCTGTTTGCCAAAACTTCGAGATGCAATATTAGTTTGGATAAAATTTTTTTAATAGTGTCACTGACAAATTTAATGCCACAAAAGGGAGATGTGGGATTGGTAGTTTTAATAAAATCGGTTTAGAGTTTTTATTTCCCTTTTTTTTAATTACTTTGGTTAAGAGGTTACCTTTTTTTTTAAACCTGTTCTTACTTAATTTTATTCTTATACCGAAAATATTACACAAATATTAAATTTTTTTAAAAACTACATTTTATTTTATTTCTATTTTCAAAAAAAAAAAAAAATTTTTTTAACAAATTTTTTTCAAAAAAAAACAAAATTTATTTATTTTTTTACAAAAGCCCGAAAAATTTTCAATATATTAAAATTAAGAATAATAATTTATTTTTTATAATGCTATTATATATATTTCCAATATATTACAATAAAAATTATTATTATTTATTATTTTTTTACAAATGCCGATGACGACTATTTTATATAACAAAAATAAACTAAAAATCCATATTAACTCACTGCCTACAGCAGTTTATAATAATCTATACAAATTTGTCATTTTAACAACTCTACCTTCATACATCTTTTCAAATTTTACATTAGAGGTCTGCAACGGGCTTTTTTCTAGCCAAAAAAACGTTTTTTGAAAATTTTGTTAAACCTGCTCGCCCGCCTAATGTTTAAAAAAAATTATTTTAATGGGTTGGTTTGGCTTTTTATCCGTTTATTTTCATGTATTTTTTAGTTAAACATGTACGATATTGCGATTAAAGCTATTATTTTTTTTAAATAAAATGAACTCTGTTCTGCTCATTTCCCCCCGACAAATATTTAAAATTCACCCGTCCACGCCGCCCATTACTTAGCGAATGTTTTAACGCCCACCATCCGTCTAATGATGAAAATATTTTGGAAATCCCGACCACGCCCGGAAAATATTTTGGAAACCCCGACCACACCCGTCCGAAGCATAGGCGAGCGTGGGCTGGCTAAAAACCCGCCCAATGCTGACCTCCATTTTAAATGTTGCATATTCCTTCGTCTCATAATATATTCCTAACGCTAAAGTTCGTAATGCACTCTTGCAAGTTACACATGTGTCTCACTTTTATTAAGATGTAACATAGCAGTCTATTTTGTTAGAAAGTTAAATATTATTATTATTTAGACAAATATTTTAAATCTTCATTTGCTATACTAATATCAATTTCTTTACTGAATGATGATTATTATTTTTTTTCGATACCACTTTTCGCAGTCGATTCCCAACACGATAGTCAAGATAGACGCCCTGGGTTCCAGGATTTACGCGTGCGATTTGCAGGACGGGGTCCATTTCGTCAGGTACAAGGCTAGGGAGAATCTGCTACTCATATTCGCCGATATCACGATCCCCTTTTGGACATCCACATCTCTCCTACTCGATTATAACACCGTGGCGTTAGCCGACAAATTTGGAACCGTGACTGTCGTAAGCAAATTATTAAACTATTATGAATATATATCCGGGACGCCAGAAAGCCCCACGGACTAGGCCAAACAATTTGTGAAGAAGGCCTAAAAAATTTTTTTTTCTTCGTAAAATATTATTGTGGGCCGATCAGTACAACTTGGCATAAAATTATTATATTATATGGGCCGAACTTTAAAGAGTAATCACGTTTAACAAGATCGGATGAACAATAATTTTTTATTTTTCTCCACCCCATCATTCAATATTTATAATATATTCCCGAACCATATTTTTTTTGCTGTCTTTTTTAGAGTATGAAAAAAATATAAATTACGATATTGGAGGTTGATTTTGTAATTTCAGCATTTCGGAAATTTTTTCTCTTCCTATGCCTGTATTTTGGAGATTTGTAGTTGTTCAATTGATGATGCATAAATCAAATACATGCAGAGGTGCCATTTGCACGGCTCGGCCCGAATTTTTTTTAAAATATATTGCAGCTAACAAATGGCGATTTAAAATATTTAACGGACCTGGCTTGTGTACCGAGGATTAGGGCTGGGCCCCCAGGTCTATGATATTTAAATATTCTTAAACCCGTTTTAACTTATTAAAAACAATATTATAAATAACACTTAGCTTGGTATATTACATACTTTGTATTCGCGTGTAGGTCAGATTACCTCCCAGCACTAACGACAATATCGAGGAAGACCCAACGGCTAATAGATCCCTATGGGAAAGGGGTTTGATGAATGGATCGTCGCAAAAGGTGATTAATATATATTTTTTTCTTATCACCTCCCCGCCATTTAGCTCGTGGAAAAACTAACTGGTCGTAGATTTCTATCTTTATTTCATGTTCATCCGCGTTCCTCATAATCGATCGATTAATATGATAATACGAAAATATACCATTTTTTTTTAAAACAAAAGGCCGAAGAACTATGCTATTTTTACGTTGGAGAAACCGTAACGTCTATGCAAAAGGCTACCTTGATTCCCGGTGGATTCGAATGTATCGTTTATACTACTCTCTCCGGCACGGTGGGGATGTTACTACCTTTCACCTCTCATGAGGTAATTATCCCTTTCTCTTTTTCTTTTCTTTCTTTCTTTCTTTCATTCCTTTAATTTTATCTTTTCTTTCCTTCTTTAATTTTTTTTATAAAATTTATCTATACATCAGGATTACGACTTTTTCCAACATTTGGAGATGCACATGAGGTCCGAGAATTCGAGTCTTCTAGGAAGAGACCATTTATCCTTTCGTTCTTATCATTTTCCCGTCAAAGTAAGCTTTTATTTTCTTTTCAAATTGAATAAATAACAATATGGATCGTTTTGATCATTGGAGTTATCTAATCCAGGGTTCTGGATTCGAATTCGGGTTCAGGAATTTTAGCTCTATTCAGCGGAAATGTGATAACTGGAACTTAATCGAAAACCGATTTTCTAAAAGGGGTCGAACCCGCCCCGGTGCTCTTTATATAATTTTTTTTTTTAATAGTTGGATAAGTTTTTTCCCAACTAATTTAATAATGTTCAATTGTTATTGTTATGTTATAACTTGATCTGAATTTTAAAAAAATTGAAATCAAATTGATGATTTTATTGTATTTTTTTTATACGCTTATATATATATATATCTAGAAAATTTATATAACTAAAATTCATAAAACATAACTATTATAATTATAAGGCGTTTGTACAATGATAAAACTTAGATAAAATATTTTAACTTTAAGCTAAAAATATAGCTTGAATATAGTTTATTCAAAGCATGATAAAATGTTTACAATGTAAACATAATATTTTAATTCTAATGTCTAACATGAATTTACTTTATTTAAATATAACAGTTATCAACAAAATAAAATGTGACAAAGAAATAAATAAATTTTAGATTAAATGTGTGATTTTAAATAATTAGCCGAAAACGTCAATTGGATACTAAAAAGCAATCATTTTTTTAAAAAATTATAAAAATATTTAGATTCCACCAATCAGGGCTGACCAGTTCGGAAATTTCTGGAGGTGAGGAATGGCGTATTTTACGGTTAAAAAAATAATTTAAAAAGGTAATTGTTTTAACCCGTAATTACCTTCATATAGGCACGGGACATTGTTATCTTTAGCCTCTCCTCCAGGATTTCCGAAACGAGTCGGGCCCTTAAGCGGTATACAACCAAATAGAAGAGAACTGTAAGGTATTATTTTTATCTTGTATATCCATATTTCACTCAAAGTTATAATGGTGAACCGACAAAGCTTTTTAGGGGGATGATCAATGACATATAATAATACCTAGACTGACGATACATTTATTAAAAAGTGTACATCAATGAAAACAGCTGGGGACGCCGTTTTGATTACCCTTATCATTATTAAAATTTTTAAACGATTGGCCAATTTATTCCTATGTCTGAAGCTTTATAAAAGAATTGCATCATCGAGATAATAAGGAAGTAAGTTATGAATATAGTATTAGTTTTTAACATGAGAATAATTACTATATGGGTTACCAAAATGGCGGGTCCAGCTGATTTGCATTCAACGATGCTTTCAATTGCATTATTATGAATGCATCGCCAGTCTAGGTATTATTATACGTCATTGGGGAAGATATCTGATTTTTTTGCCTATATCAGCTGTTCTTGATAAAAAAAATATTAATGAAGGAAATCTTTTAAAAGAATGGAATAAAAACAAAAAAAAATAATACTTATATATAGGTTGATGGGACTAATTCCTTCCCCCCCCCATAAATTATTTTTTATCCGCCATTTTTATAAATATCAGATCGGCTAATTTAACGAGATTGGCCGAATACCGGTTTTCTTTAAAATCCGAATAAATGGGCCGACCCGGTAAATCGATAATATCCCAAATGATTTGTGATTAAAATTTTTTCTAAAGTAATAATGTAAAACAAAAAATTATTTTTTTTTGTGGGCGTAAAAGGAGTTAGGTTGAAAAGGAAAAAAAATTAATGACATCTTTTATATCTTCTTCCTTTTTTTTTCCAGAACGTTATCGATGGGGACTTGTGCGAGCAATTTAATTCTCTCGAATATTCGAAACAGAGAAGCATATCCGACGAATTGGATCGAACACCTAACGAAGTATTTATAAATATATTTATAAGATACTTTAAAAAAAAAATGGTGGCTTGACAGAGTGAATACAAATTACGAAAATTTTAAATATATTATATACGCGAAACAAACCACATGCCCATATTTTATTATCATAAAATCGTTGATAAGATGATCAATTTAAAAGTTTATTAACACACAAGTGCTTTAGAACTAAATTGCAGTTTCTAGTGTTGTTGAAACGGCTAGATTTTTAAGAAATGGCTAACCCAATATGCTCGTAAGTTTTGACATCTTATGGCTAAAATATTTGGGCTAACCCTTTTTACAAATTGAAAAAGTTTAAACACACACACACCATTAGTTTTCAAGTTTAATTACAATTTTAGGATATAATATAATAAAACTTTGTGTTTAATCTTTCATGTAAAGTGTTTTATGATTTAATTTTATCCATAATATCAACTATAACGATAAACAATTTTCAACCTTAGCTAAATTAAAATATATAGTAACATATAATAAACATTTTTTGATTAAATATCTTTTAGCCCGAAATATGTTGGCAATATAAATGCAAAAAACAGATTATTTAAGGTAGGCTCTGTTAAAGATTTTTCTTTTTGATCATGCCAAATTTTATATCATTATCTTCATTTATAATAAAAATAACGTAGGTTCATTTGATTTAATGTAAACTTAAATATTGTTTTTTTTAAAATTCTTTTTAAAACTTTATGAAATAATTTATAAATATTATTATATTAGAAAATTATTTATATTAATGATATAAATTTAATATTATATATTTTTATTTTTTAAAAGGTATCAAAGAAATTGGAAGATATAAGGACACGATACGCGTTTTAAGAATTTTTGGCGAATATTTTAAATTTTTTTATATAACCATATTGTAAAATAAAAAAAAATAAGCATATTTTTATGCACCCCCCTTCCCCACTCTTTATTAGTGTAAATAATTTTTTTATAATAGCATAGAGATTTCATGTAATATACTCTTAAATAATTATATATAATCGTATTATTATTATTACAAAATAGTGATTTCATTAATAAAAAAAATGTTGACTTAATATTATAATCTTTTTATATATTATTTATTATATTCTTCAAAATTTAATTTTTTTTAAAGATCGTTTTTGTTAATTCAAATTTTAAGAACCTTTTCCAAATAAATGGTCGGTCTAAAATTGGGGTGCTCCACTCGACATTTTCAAAATTTTTGAGTTATAAGTGGATAATAACTAATTTATTACCAATCTACATAAAAATAAAAACTAGATTTAAAAAAAATATTAATACGGATACATCGTCTAGATACTTACCTAAATACAGATACATAGTATCTATAAACTTTTCTAAATGCAGATAGATCATAAAATATTTTAGGAAGTAGTGTAGTAAAGAATTAATATCAACTCAACAAATTTTTTTTTTAGCTTACTTCAAAATTATAAGTTCAAGCATTATAAAAAATTTATTAATCATATTAGGCCTGTCCCCAATATTCACCCACCTATTTTTTTATATGTCCAAATTTTAAGTTTTCTTTTTATTTTGAAAATTTGAAAAAAATTACTTGTATATATTTTAATATAAATGATATTTATAGCATATTCCACACTTTATACTAATATAACATTCTTAAGATATAATCACAATAATTTTATGATATTTTTAAACAATATAAATCAAATTTTAGCAATATTAATAATAGAGATTATACAAATAAAAATCTATATGATAAAGGTAAATAAATTAAAATATTATTTATATATGATATATTATTTTTATTATTCATATTAATTGAGGCCAACACAAAGTTCATATATGAAAAAAAAAGTTCCAAATCAAATCATATAAAGGTGAAATATAGTGTAAAATGATAAAATAAGGAAAAAAAGTGATTATATCGAAGATCTGTGGAGAGAGGACTGCCATTGAAATTTTGAACGCTTTATAGCAGCATCTACATAAACAGAAAAAGGGGGAACAGTTTGCACCCTATTTTTTTTGAGGGAGGTAGAGGGGGGGGTAGGTGGCTTTAATGGGGGTAGGATAAATTTTTTGGGGGGTTTTCTATTAAATTTTGAGATCAAATAGAACATAATTTATTGCAGTAAAAATTATATAGATCTATTATACAATTCATCAACCAAATCTATATATTGCAAACAATCATATACATTATTTTCTAAATAAAACTTTATCCTTTCAAATGTAATTTAAAAGATTTCGACATTTTCAGCAAGCTCATTAATAATAAATTCATTGTAAATGATAGGGGTTTTAATTGAATTTATTATCTAAAAAATAACTCCTTTATATTAACAAATTGTCAATAATTGGTATTAGATATAAAATAATTTAAGATATTCTTTTTAAATTTTCTGGAAAAGTATTAATATAATTAAAAAGGTTAAATTAAAAATAGGGAAACATCGCCGCAAAAGGTGGTAAATTTTTTTAATAGGTTAGGCATAGGTTTTTGAAGGGGGTTTGCATCCAGTGAAAATCCTGTCATGTAGACGCTGCTTTATAGCTATAACCGGTTCTGCCTGAGGAAGAATAACAATTTTTATATTACTTATTTTTAAAGTGTATTAACTCTTGACAAAGTACTTGTCCCAGTTTAAGATTTAGTACAAATATTAGAAAGTAAAAGAAAAAAATAGGATTAATTTTTATTTTATAGCCATTTCCGGTTTTGGGTATTATTTTCAATAAAATATATTTTATAAAAAATTAAAATTATGTTTCTAGCTTAATTATATTTTAAATCAAATATAGTGCATTTTGGAATTTTCGTTTTTCTAAAGATGGCCCATATCTCATGAAAGTCGATTTGAAAAGTAAAATTTGACATTTTTATTAGTTAGTGTATTATATACTGCCAACATACAAATTTTTAATAAAATTAAAGGGGGTAGGGTTTAGAATCGAGTTTTTGGTTAATTTAATATGGAATACAACATATTTTTTTATTACTAATTAATGAATTTTCAAATATATCCATGGATAAATATTTATATTTTTTTGTAAGAGGTATTTCAGTTGTTTATCACATTTATTTCAAAATAGACAATTTTGTTAACTTAAATATATTTCGTTACCTAACCTAACGCCATTATATGTATTAAAAAAAATAAACTTTAAATTATTCTTGTGCTTCATGAATCAAATTAAACGATAACGTTAAAATTTATCTTAAGATTAAAATTTTATTCATAGTTTATTTTTTGTAAAGTTTTAAAGCCACCCTTATTTTTTTGGTTTAGTTCTACAACTGACATTGCTCTTTTTAGCATTTCTTATAACTCAAAACTTAACTGACATTAATCCTATAACATAAGCACGTGACACAGACGTATTCAAAAATCACTTATTCATATCTAACAGGATGACAATCGCTTTGTTCGACTATATTTAAATAAAGACCTAAATTATTTTAGCGGTTTTTATGAAATTATTGAGATATTCGCTATCAGAATCTAGTTCATTCTTTGAAGATCAAATTGAAAAGGAGAAAACTACCATAAATAGCTATAACCTGAGATCTCACAATGATCTTACCACAAGTTAGACTTAATATTTAATGCATTTAATTTTAATATTCAAGTAAAGTCACTAAGAAAGAAATTTATATTCATTCTATTTTATACTATAATTATGCCTTATAATTTCTCTATAATTTTAAATATTATTGATAATTTTATTAATATTTTTTAGGGCATATAAAAAATAGATTTTAATGCTATTTATAGTTTAAGATTTCTTACATAATGTTAATAAAAATGTGTCAAAAAGTGATTCTCTAAAATAAAATATATCTTGTTAAAATGCTTATATACTAGTTAATTTTAAAATCATGACCTAATCATAAAATTTTAGTTATAGAATTTTATATTATGTTCTTAAGATGGGTGGGGTGCCTTTTGTCTATAGCCAAATATATAGCCTATATCCCCTAAAAAGCCAAAATATTTCACTCATTTACTTTAAATATACTATTACAATTTCTCATTTATTAAATAATTAAGTCCTTTGCTGCTTAGCCAAAACAAAATTTCTCTAATTTGCAACACTTTTTTAAAAACTATTATTTTCTAATATACTATTATATTTTCTTATTTGTTATTAGATTTGACACTTTTAGGCAAAATGGATAAAGGCGAAACACCATTCAAAGATATTAGAAGATGTTTGCCAAATTTAATTTGCAAAACTTGTTTACATATATATATATATATATATCAGAGATCTACAGGCCCCCAGCCCCGAGTACACAGGCTGGGCCGTATTTTAATTTTTTTAAATATACCCTGGCTGTGCCTAAAAAATTTTTTTAAAAAAATATCTGGGCTGAAAAAATCTGGGCTGTGCCGTACAAATGGTACCTCTGCAGGTCTTTGATATATATACAATTAAACATTAGTAATAAGAAAAATCCCACATTATTCTCTATTGTAATTTTTTTTTCTGAAATTATACTGGAACCCTTAGAACACTGGAATTCAACAAACCAAAACCTCTACAAATATTCACAACTTTCTTAGATTCAATTTTATTTAGTTGGAATATCTTATTCTTAATTTCTTTAGCTTAGTAATTAATTAGACTAATTTCTTTTTCGATCAATGATTAATTTTTAATTTATTTAATTAAAGTCATAATTTTCCTAAGTTTACAATAAATTTCATAAGTAAATATATTTTGTAATTTTCGCAATTATATCGATATTATTCTGTGTTATTATTTTAACATCATTTACAAGTTTTGAAAATAATGATTGACTGACATGTTGAAATAAAAAAAATCTTTATTATATTATAATACAAGTCGAAATTCTGTGACATGACACTCCTTTATGGGACCAGAACACAGATTAATATATTATAAACAAATCTATATTAAAAATAAATACTAGGTTATAAAAAGGTTCAAAAATTTTTTATATAAGTTTTTAATTCAAGGTGATATCTTCTACCACAAATACATTATTATAGTTACAGATCTTCCCACAACATGTCTCTAGTTAATATGGAGTGGAGTGATTGCCACCATTAGTGGTTGTCCCCTTTTCTTACCGATCCACCAATGAAGATTTTGTCGGGACATGCTCTTTGATATAAGATTGGAATGTAGAGGGCCCTAGCATATTCTCCACAAATTCAAGAGCTAAGAGTTTGTGGGATCTTTGGATATCATGATCTATAAGACACCTGCATATCACTTTGTTGTTTTTTTTTCCACTTTTTTTTGGGAAGACGGTCACATTGCCTCATCATATGCTCATCTGATTGGCAATTATAGCATTTCCTTTTCTCCCCAACATTAGGTGTAGCCTCCTTTCGAAATGGTTCGATTTTTATCCCCATATTTTTTGGGCTCCTGGTCATGGCACCAGGATTTTTTTTTCTTTTAAGGTGGATAAGTGATACAACTAGTGTTGTGTTGTTAAACGGCTCTTGAGCCAGCCAACTCAATATTTTATCCAGAAAAATACTATAAGCAAGCCTGAAGATTTTGATCACAGAAATCACAAATGGTCTAGGCATATATTAGTGAAATTTTGAGGTTTGGGCAATATTTTTCTGGTCAAAGCATTGAGTTAGCCGTTTTTAAAAATCGGCTCAAAACGAGCCGTTTAACAACACCAAGCTACAACTATTAATTTTTTTTTCTAGCCTAGTCTGGATATATCAATGACATATATAATACCTAGACTGACGATTCATTCCTTAAAAGTGTACATCAATGCAAATCAGCTGGAGACGCCATCTTGGTTACACTAATAATTATTAAAATTTTAAACGAGAGCCTAATTCATTCCTATATCTGATGCAAACTTTATTAAGGAATTTGCCGGATCATCGAGATAATTAGGAAGCAAGTTATCAATTTTATAGTAGTTTTTTAACATGAGAATAATTACTATATGTGTTACCAAAATGGCGGGTTCAGCTGATTTGCTTTTAACGACGCTTAAAAAATGCATTTTAATGAATGAATCGTCAGTCTCTGGTATTACATATGTCATTGATTTTCAATGATTTTTTCAAAGGGGAAAGATTGACATTAACGGACAGTAAATGACGTTTCTATTATATCGATTTTCTAACTTGAATTTCATAGAATTTTTTTTGTTGATCGCGAGATACCGATTTTTTTGATTTTTTTTCTTCCTATTTTTAAAAATGAAATTATACCAATTGACCTGATCTGGGCAGGTCTCCCTAATAAATTGCATAATGAGAAAAAAAAAATATATCTGATGACTGACGATATATTCATTATAAATAAGTGTACATCAATTAAAACAGCTGAGGACGCCATTTTGGTTACCCGTATCTTTGTTAAAAAAATTTTTAAACGAGAGGCCAATTTATTCCTATGTCTGACGCTAACTTTTATTAAAGAATTGCCTGATCGTCGAGTTAATAAGGAAGCAATTACTATATATGGGTTACCAAAATGGCGGGTCAAGCTGATTTCCATTCAACGACGCTTCCCAAGCTATGTCCGCTCCTTCGCGTAACTATTATCTCAAAATTCGATCTTGATTTTGTACCATATACGAATTCTCTACAATGCTTTTATCGATGATAATTCTTTTACGATGGGTGCATCGAACAATTCCACATACATGACCGAATTCGTCAAGCTGGGTTTCCCTAAATTTAATGGCGATGACAGCGCTTGTATAGGGAAATTACAATATAACATATAATTACCAGAATTGTTAAAAGATTATTTTTAAATGGATCTAGATACAGATACATCGTCTAAAATAATATTCTAGATACCGATATTTTAATCAAAAATCTATCTAGATACAGATACCACATTTTTATATCTAGATTTAGGATCTAGATACAAAACAACTTTGATAATTACAATTACATATTTCAAATATTTAATATACCCAATTCGTAAAGACGCTTTCACCCCTATCCGATCCCAAAAATTATCGATTAATTCGAAAAAACTCGACTCGAACCACACAAAGAAGACCATCGCCTTAGATACGAATAACCCAATTGTCCAGGTGGTCTTAGACAAATTGCCGACTCGTATTGATACATCCGAAAATATTCGCGCGACGAATTACGGTAATTTTTTGATGTTTTTTTTAAAAGCAAATAACTAGTTACTTTTTTTTAAAGTATGTTAAATATATATCCTCCCGGGTCGGTTGTATTAAATTTTTTTTGACATATACACGGGCCGGGTCGAGCCTGAAATATCCGCAGGGCCTGATATATTTTTTTACCAAAAAATTCGGACCGAGCCACAAAAGGTACCACTGCAAGTCTCTGATATATATGTTAGCATCAACGTGTTTTTTCAACTTTAAATCATTTTTTGAGCGCTTTTTTTAAAAAATTTATAGATATGATTCTACCGGAAATTTATTTTAGCATGTTTATGAATACCAGAGTTGTTAAAAGATACTTTTTAAAGGGATCTAGATACAGATACATCGTCTAAAATAATATCTAGATACAGATACCACATTTTTATATCTAGACAAGGTATCTAGATCCTTTAACAACTCTGATGAATACCAATCACACGAAATTATAGACAATTTTTGCTGTTAACCTTTGAGTCATTCCTAATCTATATTTTTCTAAAAAAAAACTGATATTGATTATTATTTAAGTTCAAAAGTTCGTAGTGAAATTGTCTGAAACTTATAGTATAGGTATTTCGAACATGATAGAATACTACATTTCCAGTAAAATCAGACTTTTAAAATTTAAAAAAAAAAGGGCTCAAAAAGTGATTTAAAGTTAATAAAATTAAGACATTACCGGAAAAAACACGTTGACGCTAACATATATATACAATGACATATATAACACCTAGACTGACGATTCATTCATTAAAATGCATTTCTAAGCGTCGTTAAAGCAAATCAGCTGGACCCGCCATTTTGGTAACACGTATAGTAATTATTCTAATGTTAAAAAACTGTTATTAAATCGATAACTTGCTTCCTTATCATCTCGATGATTAGACAATTCTTTAATAAAATTTGCGTTCTTACATAGGAATAAATTAGGCTCTCGTTTAAAATTTTAATAAGGATTAGAGTAACCGATGGCGTCTCCAGCTGATTTGCATTGATGTACACTATTAAATGAATGAATCATCAGTCTAGATCAAATATAAAGTCTCACCTACAATAGGCCGCTCCAAGAACACTTTTTTTATAGTCTGGGTAAGCATATTTCTGGTGAAAAAAATAAAACTAGAACACCTTTAAACACAAATTTTTGAAATTAGTTTTTATTATTGAAGTCAAATAAAAAATTTTTATGAAAAAAATAAATAAATTATGTGTTATTTATATATTTATCGGAGACCTGTGCAGGGGTGCCCATTTACACGACCGGACCGGATTTATTTTCAAAAATTTTTTTCGGCTTTGCCCGGGTTTTATATTTTCAAAACCGGCCCGGCCCTGATTTTTTTAAAAAAATTACATTTATTCGCAATTTTTATTAGATAAAAATGGCGATTTAAGATATTCGGTTTTAAAAACTACGACCAAGCCCGTGTGGCCAGACTTAGGTCCGGGCCTGCACGCTGCAACATATTATTTATTTTTTACCAAAACAAATAATCATGTGATATATTTTTTTTTGATAATAACCCAACTCAAGGAATGTGCAACTCATGGAAATTTTTTTAATTGGATGAAATATATGTAGTTAAACAAGTAGGATATTAAAGGTTAGAAAAAATATGGGTTTGGGTTAATTAAAGTAGGGGTAAGATATATAGAAAAGGGGTTTTAAGAAAATATAAAAACAAATCTGACAGGTCACGTGATTAAAAATTATTTCCCCTGAGTTGGACCATAATAATTTTTTTAGCATATTTTTATTTGAAATTCCATTGACTACAATTTGTATAATATTAATTTTTTTTTTAATATTAAAAATGATATTTTTTTTGAGAATGTAACGAGTAACGGTATCTTATAAAGATACTTCTATTAACACTAATAATTATAATCGATCAACTTAGGTAACGATAACCACGAGAGCGTCGAAATCCAGAAGAAAAGTCAGGGAAAAATGGATAAAGGGAACAAAAGATCCAAGAAAAAGGGACTATCCGAGTTGGATAGACTCGCGATCCGAAGTTTTAGACCTGAGTGGGCCTCTACTAATAGTCACATTCGAGGAGTGGATCCAGGTACGATGTCATGTTAGCATGCACCGTTATTCTACAATTTTATTAGGAGACGCGATGTACTCCCAGGGGTCATAACCGTAGCGAATATCGGTTTAGGCTTATATAAAAATAACGGATTAGAGTTCAGATTCAGTTCAAGAAAAATAGTAATAATATAGTAACCGGAACTTTTAACAACCCGAAACATTTTTTTAAAAATTAAGGTTCCCGGATAGTGTTGTTAATCGGCTCAATCTGAGCCGATTTTTTTTAAAAACGGTTAATTCAATATATTATCCGGAAAAATATTACGCAACCCCGTTAATTTTTGCTCATAGATGGAAGTGAGGCTTGGACATCTATGAACGAAATCTCGAGACTTAGTCAACATCTTTCTGGCTAGAATACTGAGTAAGCCTTTTTTAAGAATCGGCTTAGTTCGGGGTTCAATAGAAAAAAAAATTTAAATTTATTTTAGGCAATGTCCAAAATATTTTTTTAAAAAAATTCACAATAATTTGAAATTTGTATAATTTTGTTAGAAATGTTTTGGACACGTTTTTATTTTTTATATTTAAAATAGCTTATTTATATTTATTTTCATTAATGTTTGCAAAGTTTGTGAATTTTAATTTTACGATATTTTGGACTCAGCCTTATAAAAACTTATATTAAAATTTAATATAGAAAAAAAACATGCAAATTATTTAATAATTTATTTTTTGCTTGGAATTATTTTAATTTTACGATATTTTGGACTCAGCCTTATAAAAACTTATATTAAAATTTAATATAGAAAAAAAACATGCAAATTATTTAATAATTTATTTTTTGCTTGGAATTTTTTTTATTATATTTTTTTTAGAGTATACACCATTTTTATGTAAAAATTTTATCGAGCATATTGTAACTTTTTTTTTGTTAATAATAGATAATAATAAATCTATAGTTTAGGAATATCAATTTTTTGTTTGTTTGTTGGATCATTAAATTATATAAGTTAGACCAAAAGAAGATGAAAATAATCACGGGGTAAATAGCTTTATTAAATGCAAGTTGCAAATGCACTGTCAAATTTCGGCATTAAAAAAATTTTCGGTTATTTTAATTTTAACCTCTCCGATTTGGAAGATATCATGGATAATTCGCTTTTCTAATTTATAAATGATAAATTATTTTTATGGAGTAAGGCCTGAATATAGTAAAATAAAATTTTATTTAAAAGAATCTAACTAAATTTTATAAGTCTTTATATTTCTACAACCCCAAACCCTGAAACTCTTTTTAGAAGGAGGGTTCACAGCTAGTGTTGTTAAATGGCTCGTTTTGAGCCAATTTTTAAAAACGGCTAACTCAATATTTCGTCCAGAAAAATATTACGCAAGCCTCAAGATTTTGCTCATAGAAGGAACAAAGGTCTAGGCATATATTATCGAAATCTCAAGACTTAGGCAATATTTTTTCTGACTAAAATATTGAGTTAGCAGTTTTAAAAAATCGGCTCAAAATGAGCTGTTTAACAACACTATTCACAGCCTTGTAATTGTGGGTTCGGTTCGCACTTTTTAAAAACTGTTTCGAACCTTTTCGTATATCACTAAATCCCAAATTTAAAAGAAAAATAAACTATAAGTAGTGATGTAAAACGGCCCGATTTGAGCCGATATTTTAGCCAGTAAGATATTGCTTAAGGCCGCATTCATAGTGGATCCGATCCCACACGATTTAACAGCTGGTCGATTTTTAAAATCGGTTTATGAGAATCAATTTTTCTTTATTAAAACCAATATTTCTTAGGTTATTATCATGTATAGAATTAAAGATAAAATAAATGTTATTTAAAAAAAAAATTGATCTCATAAACATATTTTAAAAATCGATCAGCTGTTAAATCGTGTCGCATCGGATCCACTATGAATGCTACCTAAGCCTCGAGATTTAGCTAATAGATGTCCAAACCTCTGTGCCGTTTACGAGCAAAATCTTTAGGATTGAAGTAATATTTTTCTCTGGATAAAATATCGAGTTAGCCGTTTTTTTTTAAAAAAAAGGCTCTTATACCACACTAACTATTGGTATAGCGCTATTTAATTTATAAATTATAAATAAATAAACGGTATATATATACAATTATTTGTTCAACCAATCAAAAATTGATAAATAATATTTCAAGACAAGTTTTATGGATATCCAAAAGATCAAAACCGATTTTTTTTTGTGTGTATTTCTTAATTTATATTCAGTCCCAAAAGTTTATGGCAAAATTGTCTGAAGTGTTATAGGTTAGGTAGGTAGTCCGCTTATGCCGATATGTATTTCCGGTCAAATAAGATCTTTTAAATTTAAAAACGATCCTCATTTAAATGATTCAGAACGTAAAAATTTGGATAAAACTAATCAACAATCGAAGCATTTATCATGTTTATTCCTGGAACCTGAACCAACCAATATACAAAAAAGTGGAAACCTTAAGCTATTATCGATATCGGCCGCTACCTTCAATTTTAATTTGTAGTGTCGGTTTTGTTGCCAACCGATACACTATTAGTATCGGGTTCTATGTCAATCGATACAATATTAGTTTCGGAAATTGGTATAATGCCTCTATTCTTTTCTCTTTTTTGTTAAATCTAAAGAATCACGCTATTCTATTCAGCCAAGCGAAAGGGGAGAAAAAGAAGGAGAAAAAAAAATGAACCAAACCCCAGAACTTTTCTCCTTTTGAAATCATCAGAACTATTTACGACAAATTTATTAATAATTTTTTTGTTGTTTGTTTTTTTAGACAAAACTTTGACAAATACCTGTAGATCTTCAACGAGAGTTCGAACCTTGCGCTTCCAACAACTCAACTTGGACAAGATCTGCGCTCAGCAGCCTCCCGCGGTTATTTTAAAAAGTGAAGAGCCAAATAGAATCATAAATCTAGTTTCATAATAATTAATTTTTTTTGGGGAGCGGTTTTTGGTACGAAATAAGTGGGGAAATTTTTTTTAAATTAACCCTATTCCATACCCTGGCGGCATTTAAATCACCCTAACTTGGCCCAAATGGCTACCTAATCGGGGGAAATTTTTAAAAATAATCGGCATCGATCCGATATTTAATATCTTACAAAATCAAACTTGAATATTAATTACTCATAATTATAGAATCGAATCAATTTAAATTAAAACAATTATCCAAATTTTGTTTCGCCCTTTACATATACCCAAATCCATAGTATAAAAATAGTTAAAGGTTTGGGCTGGATAAGCAAAACAACGTGAAAACTTCCTAATTCCTTCATTAGGAACATATTAGCAAAATATAAATCAAACCAAATATGTTATAAACTTACTCGATGAATAATGTACTCTATAATGTTGACACGCCAATCAATTTTGCTTTTTGAAAAAAACTATTAGTTTAAATAATACAAAAAAAAAATTATACTTAATTCATTAATAGGTTTTCTATACATTTTTCATAATTCATGATCCTATTAGGAAATTTTAATTACGAAATTTTATAACCACGATTTTTATTTTCCTGGTGGATTTTAAAATAGTGATTTTAAGAATATTCATAAAAAGAGATGTAAAATATTTTTATTGTTAAATCACTTTTATATTTTAAGTAATAATCTATATACACATAATAAGTAATAAACAAATTTATTTGAAATTTGAAATAAATATTTAAAATAATATTTAACATTTATATATCGAAGATTTCTTTTTAGAGATACCAAAATTTCCAATTTATTAGAGGTCAGCCTGCGGCGATGGTCAATATCACCAGTTTCACTAAAAACTGATTCTGAAGAGATTATCGCACACTTTTATAAACAGAATGCCCCAAAAAATGACAATATGGCAGAATGTTAATTAATTAATTATTATTAAAAAAATATTACATAAAAATGGATTTCGATTTTATTTATAAAAATAAATGATTTTAAAAAAATTTTATAACATTTTATTTTTGTTAAAGACGCCATTTTATATCGGATCAGAAAATTTTATAATATTGGCCGATAACCGATATTTTAAAATGGGCGAAATATCGGCCCGATCCGATAAAAATATCGGTATATCCCTAATGAAAAATGTTCACTAGGAATTTGACAAAATTTACAGATAACATCTGACCGGGTTGAAGTGCCATCAAATCCTCTTTGTTTTCCATCTCAATTTCCTGATAATAAATGATTACTTGGTTTATTTGTTAATAAAATCATCATCTCTCGGCATTAACATTCCAGAGTTTTCTAACGTGGCCTGTCGTGCTTGGTTTCAGACTTCAGTAGATGATCCGAAGATACCTAACTACCCTCTCTCATGTTTATAAGGATTTATTTTTGTGTAAGGCCATGGTTTGGAAATGGAATAGGTTCTATACTATTTCGACCAGAATAATTGTCTCCCTCGGAAAATAGTGATTCCTTAAAAAAAAAACTAAATTCATTTTTGATTTGCGTAAATGAAATGGTTAACTATAAAAGAAGATGCGAATTATTATGAATGGTCTCATACTCACACCCGCTTATTTTCTCTGGGGAGGGAGGGGGAGTAGGATTTCATAAAAATAGGAAATTAATTCAAAAATAGAATACGAAGGTTTAGAGATAATGGTCCATATTTAATTTTTTTTTTGCTAATTATTAACGAAGTCATTGGTAACAGATGTTTGATTATTTTTATTTGTCGTAGATACCTTACAAAACGGTTTGGACCGACTTATAGGCACGGACGAAGAGTCGGCAATTTGGTCAATCAGGAATAAAATTCCTGAAAGTAAAAAAAGGAAGAAGAAGAAAAATGTTGAAAATGTGGGCGAGGGCCTTCTCCCAACCCCCAAAAATTTCGTCGGGGTGATGGAAAAAAATGTCAATTACGTTTTCGATTTTAAAAATCAACAGACCCGACGCGAACTCGTGCCAGATACAGATGATCCCCTATTAAATCATCTCAATATGGGTATGGGTGATGAATATATCCGCAACGTGCCCTCGACGTCTTACGACTTTTCCGTCACCTCCAGTCTCAAAATTTCGCAGCAGAAAGCGCCTAAAAAGCCTCGCGAGAAACAGAACAAGCCCATAAATCTCATCTCCACTCCCCACACCGCCAAAGCCGTTCTCAAAATTAGCCAAAAAAGAAAGGTTTTCGATTCGAATATTTTTTTATCCAAAGATCCGAACCGTAACGAATATCGATTTCGGTTTGTAAAAAAAATCGTAATACCCGCTCGTTCGAATGTTTTTTTTTATACACAAGAAGGGAAATCATATATTCAGATATTTCATCCTTATTTCCTAAAAAAAAGAATAATAATATTGGGTTGGTATTTTATTCTGTAAAAATTTATCCTTTTGAGAACACTTTTTTCGGGTAGTTGGCACCGTCGAATAGCGATACAATAATACATAAGATACCTGAAAAATAGTTCCTTTTTTTAGAGGTCAGGGTCGGGTACAAGTTTTTTTAACGGTTTCTATCGGTTTATAATAACGAGTAACCGTGTATTCACAGCTAGCGCGAATAAAATTGACGGAGCAAATATTGACAAAAGTCTATCGCCCCGCAAATTCGCGCCAACTCTCAATGCGGAGTAATATCGATTTAAATGGTTTGATCTCAGGTTCCTTATACGTTGGTCGGAGATCTCCCCAGCTTCATTTTTCTTGTCTAGGCCGAAAAAAAAAGAGCTCCATTTCTTGTTCCTTTTCCGGTCGAATTTGTTTTTTTTAAATTTGTGCAAATTCTTGAGACATGGTTTCCTTTTTTATTGTTGAATACGACTCCAAGAAAGACAGGTGTTGCTAGATATCGATGAAACAAGTTTAGAAAGAGTGGATGGCAGTTAATAGTCAAATTTTTTTTTAAAGCTGGATTATTATCATTTATTGCTTTAAATGTGGTTCCTTGAGATAATTTTTCAATTTCGAGGGAATGCCGGCAATTTTCCATGGTATTGATAATTAAATCAGCATAAGATCCTCACAAACAAATATGCAAGTTGAATTGGTAGCACTGATATTGTTGGGATTTCTCCCATATCCATAATTTGATTTTCTATACTATATAAATAATATTTAAAAAAAAACAATATTTAAATAAATTTAATTTTTTTTACGTACACTAAGTGAATTAATTTATTCCACATACATTCTAGAATTATCTTTTCTCTATAAAGTTTCGATTGAATTGAAGGAAAAAGGTTGTTTTAACTCGTGGATCCAAAATCTCATCCTTCATAGTCTGGACATCTTTACCATGCTCATCATGATTGGCTAGTTTTTTTTAAAGTAAATCTAGGAATGCAATAACATGCTGATTGATACATTTTCTCCACTAATTTCTTTTGTGGATGCGACGAATTAAATAATAATGAAGCCAACTGGAAATTTATTTTTTTAAAATGAAGACGCCATTTTATCGGATCATGTCGGCCGTTAACCGAGATGCTTAAAGAGATGAATAATCGGCCCGATTCGATCAAAAATATAGGTTAATCTCTACTAATGATCCTTCTTCTATTCGATGCCGATAATGTTCTCAAATAACTCCGATAAACTCGTATATTTATAAACTAATTCGATTATTAAATTTATTTAAAATGTTATAAAAAATCAGAAGAACGCGCCTATTATCGAGATGCGGAACGAAGCCGGTGTCGATATCTCAGACATCAGTCATTCGTCTCAGCCATCACTCCACCTGGATCCGGTTTTCATGGCAACGCGGATAACCCCCGAAAATAAACGCAGGGCCGTTCTGCGAGCACAAAAAAATCATAAAGACGAGCCCCCTGAGGCGAAAACTAGTAAACAAAAATACCTTATCTATCTAAAACAAAAAATATCCATTTAAATTTTATTAATTATCACGCCAAATAGATCTCTAGAAATCTCATTTTGTAGGCACCCATGTTTTCTGACCCGGTTTTGTTATCCGTACGGGTTACGGTCCGGGTTTGCAGATCTCTGATATAATTAATGACGTATAATAATGCCTGGACTGACGATGCATTCATAATAACGCATTTGAAAGCGTCGTTGAATGCAAATCAGCTGGACCCGTTATTTTGGTAACCCATATTGTAATCATTCTTATGTTAAAAACTACTATTAAATTGATAACTTGCTTCCTTATTATCTCGATGAGGCAATTCATTAATAAAATTTGCCTCAGACATAGGAATAAATTGGCCTCTCGTTTAAAATTTTTAATAATGACATGGGTAATCAAAATGGCGTCCCCAGCTGTTTTCATTGATGTACACTTTTATGAATGCACAGTCAGTCTAGGTATTATTATATGTCACTCATTGGATTGTACTTAGCCAATATACCACCTAGAGGTCTGCAATGAGCGAGTTATTAAGCCAACCGCCCATGTTTTTTTAAAGAAAATACACCCGTCCGCTTATTTATTTAAAAAAAATGTTTGTTTAGCCCGCCCTTCCCCACAATGTTTAAATTTTTCGGATAAGCTAAAACTTACACCCCTCTCCTCGTTGTTTCGATATAAAAAAATGGCTACTTTAATTTTTTTTCTTCTTTCTATGACTCCATTTTAAATTCATTAATAATAATAATAATAATAATAAATATTCTCATATTTTCGTTTTAATTTTATTTATTTTTTTCACAAGTATGGTATAAAATAATCGTTGCATAAGTTTTGCTTTTAAATAGAGAGAGAGAGCTGTACTACATCCGTATTTTTCACCAGTGACAATCCCGGATTCTCACTTTTATAATTATCCTGCCGGGTTCGGTAACGGGTCTTATAAAATGGTGTTGTTAAACGGACCGATTTAGCCGATTTTAGATTAGGATTTTAGCTCCAAATAATATTATACGAGCAGGGAGATTTCGTTAATAGACGTCCAAACCTCTCCGCCATTTATGAGCAAAATCTCCAGGCTTACATAATATTATTTTGGCTAAAATCTTGATCAGACATTTTTTTAAAAATTGGAAGTTTTTTAGTTTGGGATCTAAATTTTTTTTACCGATTTTTTTCAAGAGAAAAAAAAACCCAAGTATTACCTTCTCTAGGTTATCTTGTTAATATTATTTCGAAGATTTCCCTAGAAATGTATATAATAGTGCGCACAAAATTGTGCGTTTCAAAACGCTGCGTTGCAAGCGCAAATTAATGCATTTCAAATGGCCTCGTGCGAATCGGTAAAATTTACCGTTTGGCGTTAGCAACCATTTTTAAAAAAAGGCGAATAGGTTTGCCTTTTTCATTACTTTTTTTTTAATTATTCGCTTTGTAATATTATATAAAAATGTAAATATAAATAACTTACTTATATCCTTAAAAAAAGGATATTTATAAATTAAGAGAAATGTAGAAGGCAGACGATAATATAATTTTCAAAGACAAATCCTTTTTTTTTTAGAACTTATTTAAAATTTTGAATAGACGGATATTAATTTTTTTCACTTTCATTTTCGAGGTATTATAATTAAAGCCTATATTAATTATAACAAAACAAAAAAAAATTGATTATTATTCCTCTAGGGAGTGTTTTAGGTTCGAAATTTATCGAGGAACAATTCAAAAGTCCCAATCATAACAGCTACATTTCGAACAGTGATGTAGATGATGCCCTGACTGACGATTTTTCGGTAGCGGGTTCGAGTGACAGGGAAAGTGTCATCAGCCGACTTACATCGAAGTTTTTGACTAGTGATAGGCCTACGGTGAACCATATTGCCCCACCTATTCAGCCACCCGATTATAATTACGATCGTAAAATTATTTATTATAAATAAACAAAAATCACCTAATAATCTTAGGATGCCTAAATCATTTTAATATAACAATTTCTATCAGAAGACCGTTAGATATTTTTGTTGTTGTTGTCTCAGCTCGTTTTATTTTTCATCATTTTACGGGCCCGGTTCCAAATTATTTCTAAAATATTTACACTATTTTCCAGCTGATTAATAATTGATATTTAAATATTCATTTTTGAAATCTTACCATATTTTTTCCTTATTTCCGGGACACGTCTGCAGGTTTCTGATATCCCTAATCATCTTGAAATGTTGACTAAAAATTTAGCGATGACTTGGTAAGGCAAAAAAAGGTTTTGTATAACCAGCCTCATAAAAACTATTGGGTAATGATCGTCTAAGCGAATTATATCTTGCTCTAATAAATTATTACTCGTGACGTTATAGGTATTTCGATAATTTTTCCGCGGATTAATTTTATAACGCAATTGAGCTTGTAAAGAGGAATTTAGTAAATTATATGCATGTTTTGGTATTCTTAATTGACTCAATTGAGGGGGGGGGGTGGTTATTGTTTTATTACTGTCATATGTAAGGCTAGTTGCCTAGTGTTTAAAAAAATGTAAAATAATATTATTTAAGAATTTAGATATTTAAGCGTTTGTGCATTAGAGTTTTATCGTCTGCTTAGTAGTTATATTTAATTTTGAAGAATTCTCATGAATTTTGAAGTTATAGGTTTTGTATATATTATATTTAAAACTACTTGCTGTGTAATATATAACTTAATATATATAGTTTCAATTTTTTTTTGTAATTAAACTTTCAAACTCGATATCATTTGGTGTGCCAAATTTAAGAGGTTGAGGAGGGGGGGATTACTCCTTTAAAGTGCATTCTATGTTTCATGTACAAGCATTCTAAAATATAATTATGTTATAAGAAAATTATATTAATTTATAAGTGAAATTATTACATTTTAAATAATTATTGACTGTATGAGATAGGTTAAGCTGTTATTAAAAAAATAAATAACAAGTGAGTGACAAGCAACACAACATTTTTTTACCTCTCTCTTTTAAGCGTAGCAAATAAGCATGCTTGGATGGCTTCACTTAGCTGTGAACTTTATCCTTTTGCACCTTATATATATATATATATATTTATTTATAACCATCCAAAGAACAAAGTGCTATGATCAACATTAACCTTCAAACGTCTACTGGTGTGCGACTAGTACCATTAAGTGAGTAAACTTTGATTTTAAATAAAATTTATTCGTTATCAAAAAAAAAGAGTTTATGTAGAATAGCGAAAATTAAAAACCGTATCATGCTTTTATTTGTACCGGATCGAAACCCGGGTTTTGAAAATTAATAACCTGGCATTTTACGTTTTGTCTTATCAAATTAGGGCCATTCTCATCTGTATTCTACTAATTTAATAATTTAGGCCAAAATATAAAACCGTATAAGGCTTTATTTGTACAAGATCGAAAACCGGGATGGCGATAATAAAAAACCATATCAGAATTTTATTTGTACCGGATCGAAAACCGGGTTTTGAAAAACAATAACCTGCCATTTTAAGTTTTTTTTTCTTTCATCAAATTAGTGCCATTCTCATCTGTATTCTACTAATTTAATAATTTAGAATGGCAAAAATCAAAAACCGTATCCGGCTTTATTTGCACCAGATCGAAAGTCGGGTTTTGAAAATCAATAACCTACCATTTTAAGTTTTGTTCTTATCATCAAATTAAGGGTCATTTTTATCTGGATTCTATTAATTTAATAATTTGAAATCTATTAATAAATTCAGAAATGAAACGATAAGATTTTCGATATAAATTTCAAAATTGGAACAGACCGACAATAATCGGAATGGAAATACCCTAGTCAAAGTTGAATTCGAACCGTTATAACTTCGAAACCCCCTGTTTTAGAGTAGCTTGAAAGATAACTTTTCAAATGAATCTAGATACAAATACTTTGTATAAAAAATTGGATCTAGATACTTTAACAACTCTGCCATATTCATTAAAAACAATTTTTTTTCATTGCAAAAATTTTCATTAAAAAAGAAAAATCAATTTTATAATAATAATAATAGAATTAGTGTAAAACTAAAATTATTTTTTTAAAAAATACGTAACCCGACGAATGTCCTGCAATTAGCGGGCCTAAAAACCCTCCGCTAAAATTCATGGCAGTAGTACCTGATAGATTTTTCCATCCACTCCCTTTGGTATAATCCTGGCTTCGCCTATGACCCTACACTTTTTTAAAAAAGAAGCATCAACTAAAAATTTGCTTAGAACCAGTACACCCTCAGGAACAGAACATGGGAGCCCTCATTAAGATTATAAGAACCCGAACCCATAACCGATCTTGAAATTTAAAGAAAACGGTTATGGAACCTGAAATGCAAGATATTTGGTTCTACATGATTCATTTTTGGAAAGGGATTTATTGTTTTTAGATTGCTTCTAACACTCGGAATAGAACCCTCGGAAACCTTTTACCAAATTTAGGAACTAGAACTCACTTTTCAAAATCAGTAACCGTAATCAGGACCCGTTTTTTAGGTTTCCCAAAACCCCCTGCTTCATAATCTGTATAAATGGCGGATCAGATTAATATCTTGATCATTTTTTTTTTAAATTTTACACTTTTAGAATGCGTTTATTTTGACAAGGACAAAGATTCTTTACCCAAATTAGGACCCTCTCTGGAGCGCACGGTGGCGGACGACGATTATTACATTAATCGCATTTTCGATCTAACCAATTTTACTAACGGTCGGATTATATTGAAGCCATTAAAAACCAAACCGTCTTCCTTGACCGACATGAATATAGTATATATATATCAAAAATATATTCCACCATTTTTTTTGCTTTACTCCCCCCCCCCCCATCAACGGACCCTCTTTGGTTTAGTCGGCTCTTTTTATATTATATAGACAATTGGTTTCTATTTTTATCTTATATCATGGACATTAATGGCTAAAAAATTGGCTAATTCCACTCTATCTTTTATGCGAACCCCCAAAAAATATCCGCTATGCATTGAAAGCTTATTTATTTTTTTAACTTTATTCCTCATAGTTGAGGCTATAAAAATTTATCTAGTTTGAGGTGATCGTTTTTAGTTAAAAACGAGGTTTATTTTTGAATTTTGAACTTTCTTCAAAAGAAACTCGAGTCGGAGGTGATAAACCCTAGCCGGCTAGAAATGGGGTGACACAAACCTTAACAATGATCCCCAGCCTTAAAATAATCTAAACTTGCTCTTGAAGATCTCCTAACTTATGCCATCTTTGTGAGCAAAATCTCTAGGTCGCCTTTAATTTTTTTTTTTGGATAAAATAATGGGGTCGACGTTTTTTTAAAAAATCACAACACTGGTTAAGACTAGACCGAACCCTTTAGTGCGCTTAATGTTAAAACATGACAAGCCACTTGAAAAAAATATCGTTTCCATAAAACGACTATCAAAACGTTTTGGAATGGTCATACCGTTAGACACTATTTACTAAAACTTTTTTAAAAAAAAGTTATAATAAATCCCATATATGTTGGTTTAGTTGATGGAGTAGACGTGGTACTTTTTCTTTTAAACGAATTTAGAAGTTGTTTGCTTTTGAATAGCATGACCTGTCAACTTCAGGAAATCCCCTAATCCAAAAAAAAATGTTGCTTGAAGCGTATTTAATGTACAATTTTTTCTACAAAAAAACATTATGGATTTAATTAGATCAAAAGATCGTTTATAAATGATAAGCTTATTTTCCCCGAATATGTGGCAATTTTTTTTATATGACAATTTATTTTGGAACTGCTCACCAGTGTTGTACATACGGTTATGATGGATGATTTCTTTTCTAAATTCTCGTATAAACCTTTGCCCGTGAAAAATATGGATTATCCATATTTATTTTTCGTTCAAATATATTATCTCCGAAATTTGATGATAAGTATATCTAGATTTTTAAAAATATTAGTTATTATATTATTATTAATAAAAATGAGTGTATAATTATTATCTACTGAGTAAATTATTTATTATATTTTCTACTCAAAAATTCGATACAGTACATTCGAGTTGATGCCGGGAAAGTTTCAATGTTGATCAATGGCGCCAAATTATTCCTCCACGAAAATGATCACATCATTATTCCCCCAAGTTTCTATCATAAAAAAGAATTTATTTCACAAAGAGAATAATTATTGATTTTTTTTGGGCGGTGGGAAGGAGGGTTAAACTATCATTTAGATTTTTTTTTATTATCTGATTTAAATAAAAGTTTGCATATTTGGTTAAATCATCGTAAATGATAGGGGAAGTGGAAGCAAAATGGAATTATATTCTCCACTCCCCCCCCCCCTCCTCCTACGAAAATAATTCCTTGAAATTATACTCTTACCCCCCTTCATGTTTAATTTTTTTTATAACCATTTTACCTTAAAGCGTCATGACAAGTCAGAATTCGAAAGGCTTTTCTATAGAATAAATCTGAAATTTTTTTGAGAATGCTCAAACAAGATTTCAAATTTTACCTAAAGTTTCCAAAACTTTTGTGTTTTTATACATTAAATCTTTCATTATGAAATCACAATTTTTTTTTTAAAAAAAAATATACTTATTTTGGCTATTTAAGGAAAAATTTTGTGATCCAAAGATAAGATTTATCTTTTCAAAAATTTGCTTCGAAATTTTAAAGTATCTCATTTCAAACGGTGCATCATATATAACTCGTGGAGTAGAAGGTCGGAGTTACCCGCCAAACAGACCCGTGGTTTGAAACGGAATTTGGACCTGGCCCGTAAAATAATTTTATAAGACCGACCAGGCCGTAGTATTTTTTTTATGAAAGGAAAAGACAGCTTAAAAAAATTGCGAACTTCTAGCATGGCTTTTTAATATTTATTTGGCCCAGGATTTTTTTCGCGCCGACATATCATTTCAAATTTAAAATAATGCTTAAATGCAATTTTATAAAATTAAATAATCGATTGTGGTGGTAAATTTATTCTCGACCGAGGGTTACCTACTCCTTGCAGATTTTAATCTAGTTACATTGTTGATTAGCTTATCTTCTAATTTTTATTTAAATTAGGAAATCCAAATATTGCTATTAAATTAAATCTAATCATTAGATTATAAATATAATATTTTATTACTTATAATAATTTGATTATTTTATAATTATTATATTTTTTTTTCTTTTCTAGAGAATTCCTACTCACTTACAAATTTGCTATCAACAGAAACCGTATTAATGTACCTTGTATTCTGAAATAACTGAGACAAACGTTGGGATATCTTAACTAAACAATTTATTAATTAATATAGGAAATATATATACTTATAATATAAATATCGTACATGACATGTACAATGTGAATGCATTTAAATTGTGTGATAGATATATAATTAGTATTAGATAAATTTAAATTATATTTATTTTTTAAAATATAATAAATTATCAATGGACAAACTTTTAACTGAGGCCCTTGACCAGAATGTAACAATTTTTTTTTATTTTTAGCTTTCACCTTTTCTGGTGGTAAGCTCCTTCAATGTCTCTCTCCACTTTATGTTAATTCTTGCTATCTCTTTTATCTAATTTATACTTCTTCATATTGGCTCTAACTTTATGGCCCCATTGAAGTTTTGGCCTTCCTCTTTTACGTTTGCCCATCACTTCGAAACTCTCAACCTTATTTCCTATATAGTTCATAGGCCTTCTCATTGTGTGCCCATACCACCTAAGTCTGTTCACCATTAACTTATTCTTAATAGGCACAAACTTTAAACTTCCTAGTATAGGAATGTAACAATTATCCCTCAAATAATAAATCTTAGGTTAAAATTGTTTTGCTATTTTATAAAAAAATTTAATCCATTCGCAATCTTAATTGGCTCCTTGTGATAGTTGAAAACCAGCTACTCCCAAATGAATCTTAATTTTATTTATCCTGTTTGCTAGCATTTTTTTTGGGTATTGAAGGGTTTAATAGTTTTCTTGCTCCCTGTCTTATCTAACCTCATATAAACAGGGGGGTGTTGGCATCAATGAATATATATTGGAAATCTGCAAAGGTATGACTTTAATACTAACCTAGGCAATGATTCAATAAGCATTAATTAATAAGTGTAAACATTTTTCAAATAAGCCATTAAAAGAAATTTCAAAAGCATTTAGAGTAAATGCCTTTTAATGGTGCTTACTAAAGTTGACTTCTATGTATGTGCACCTTTGTCTAGAGTAGTATTCATATACTGTTAAACTTGTCTATTTTGGCTTCGATAAGACACCGATTTTTGCCCAACTTATCAAGCCTTTTTTACTTTTATAGTTAAACAAAAAGGAAAATTATGTTCAACCATTTTCAAAGATTCTCAGTTGTTTTAATTTTTATATAGATAAGAGGACATGATAAAACATTTACTTGATTTGATATATTGTGCTAAAAACTTATTTAAGTAATTTAAGTACCCATCCATTTTTTTTGCTTTTGATCAGCATTAACTAGCATTAGAAAACTCGAAAGTCATGGACAGGTTTTCAGTTTTTGTACATCAAAATTTGTAAGTATAAGACACCAGATTTAAAAAGAACACATAATCCTACAAGGTTATCGATGTTAACATCGACTAAAAATGATTATCAAATACAATCGATATAAAAACCTATAAAAGGACAGTAGTGTTGGTGCATCAGCATGTTTTTTTAAAACTTTGTTTAAAAAACGTAAACTATATTTTGTGAATAATATTTATTTTATAAATTAAGCCTGTTAATAATAAATTAAATAGTAATTACCTATTACAGTAAGCAAATGCTGTGTGCTTCTTTATTTCAGGTCCTCAACCACATTAATTCACCCAGGGACACCAATTAAATTGACTTGTGTTACCTATAAGTTAGGTCTCCTATTCCTCAGTCTACCGCGGGTAAAGTTAGTCGATAAAATTTTTAACCCTAAGTTAATTAGCACACCAAATTTTATGACTGCTCTCTTCCCTAACTCTTAATGATCCTACGACTTCGAACTTAATACATTTGTAGCAAGCTGCCCACCTAAACAGCCAATGCTGTTGATATGTCCGAATCTTATTTTTGCAAAAAATCAAAAATATTATGTTTTCTCATTCTTTGATGTAAGTTCTTGTTGAATTGAATCAGCCATTGAAACTAAAATAGGCAAAGGCAATTTTCAAAGATTATAAAAGTCAAATTTGTTAAATAGCTTTCATACTTTATTAAAAAATATAATAATTAAATAAAATGTAAACCAAAATTTTTTCATAATCTATATTTAAAAATATACTAAAATTATTTAATATTTATTAAATTAACTATTTATATATATAATATAAATTAACTAATTATATATATAGTATAAATTATTATTTATTAAAATAACAAAATATGAAATTATTATCAAAATAATCTAACAATTAAAAAAATTTAATACTCTTATAATAAACAGATAATATAGTTATAATCAGAATTTCAAATGCCCACATAAATTAATATAAATTTTAATACCACGTTTTAATAAAACACTATGGCCATAGATTTGTGGTGTGGGGAGATGTTTATCTCCTAGTCCTATTTTGACTTCTCGTTTAAGGACTACTCTTTATACCTTATACTTTATGAATAAACAAATTTTATTCAATGTTATCTTTTGAATTAGGCAATATATATTTAATAATTAAACAACTTTAACATGCACCAAATAAATTAAGTTTGATATGAAATTTCAGCTAACTCAATTTCTACATATAGAGTATATTTATTTGAATTGATCAAACGATAAAGTGTGAAATAAAATTATATAGATAATAAGCATTTTTTTACAATAGATATCTAAAGAATAATTTAAAAATAATAGAAGAGACAATTATATATTTATTTGAATTCAATAGAACATTTTTATGGGATTTGCAGACCTTAAAGCCTTTTTACTTTTTCTGGAGTTATATGTAGAGCCTGTATAATAAGGGGTTGTTCATAATTTTTACACAGCAATCTTTAATTATGTACAGTACAAGACAAGAACTAATAAAAATAAATTAATTTAAAAAATTATAAAATAAACTGATTTTTAAATATTATGCTAATATAAATTTACATGCTTTCCTAGTTAATTATATTTCCTTTATGCTAAATAAATAAAAATATAGATGGTATTAGTTTTTGTAAAGGTTATATTTGAGTATAATAAGAATTATAATCAGAATCATAACTGCTTCTTAAAATATTTTAAATAAAAAACGAATATTTTTAAGTTACAAATTAACTTACGAATTTGATTATTCATTGTAAGTTTCCCTCTCTTAAAATTTTTTTAAAGCAACTAGATATAAGAGTAAAATAAAAGTTCTAATGTTTGAGAGCAGTTTCCGAAAAATGTATCGCTTCTCGGCCTCTTGGCTAAGATCAAAGTGTAGTATCTGTTCTTATCAGCTTAATGTCTGGTACGTCCCCTAATGGGGACCAGTATATTAAACTCATTTTTGGAGATTTTGGGGAGGTGCTCTGGGCTTGCTCATCCCTCCCCTAAGGGTCAACCTGGTATTGCAGTTCTTCCAGGAGTGGCCCAAACAATAATTAAATAAATTTAGAACATATTTTTTATAAAATTGTAAGTACTTTCAAAATCTGCTCCCAACAGTTTTAATATTTATAATAATATAGGTTTGATAAGATTAAAATATTTAACAATGATTGGTAAAATATTTATCTGTTTGATAAAATTTTAAAATATTTAATAATTGGTAAATTTCAAATATTTAACAATATCTGTTTGATAAAATTTTAAAATATTTAACTATGTTTGATAAAATTTATAATATTTAACAATGATTGATGAAATTGTAAAATATTTAACAATGTTTGGTAAAATATTTATCTGTGTGATAAAATTTTAAAATATTTAACAATGATTTAAAATATTTAACAATGATTTAAAATATTTAACAATGATTTAAAATATTTAACAATGATTGGTAAATTATTAAATATTTAACTATGTTTGTAAAATTTATAATATTTAACATTGAATGATTGATGAAATTGTAAAATATTTAACAATGTTTGGTAAAATATTTATCTGTTTGATAAAATTTTAAAATATTTAACAATGATTGATAAAATTATAAAATATTTAACAATGATTGATAAAATTATAAAATATTTAACAATGATTGATAAAATTGTAAAATATTTAACAATGATTGATAAAATTTTAACAATGTTTGGTAAAATATTTATCTGTTTGATAAAATTTTAAAATATTTAACAATGATTGGTTAACAATGATTGATAAAATTGTAAGTACTTTCAAAATCTGCTCCCAACAGTTTTAATATTTATAATAATATAGGTTTGATAAGATTAAAATATTTAACAATGATTGGTAAAATATTTATCTGTTTGATAAAATTTTAAAATATTTAATAATTGGTAAATTTCAAATATTTAACAATATCTGTTTGATAAAATTTTAAAATATTTAACTATGTTTGATAAAATTTATAATATTTAACAATGATTGATGAAATTGTAAAATATTTAACAATGTTTGGTAAAATATTTATCTGTGTGATAAAATTTTAAAATATTTAACAATGATTTAAAATATTTAACAATGATTTAAAATATTTAACAATGATTTAAAATATTTAACAATGATTTAAAATATTTAACAATGATTGGTAAATTATTAAATATTTAACTTGTAAAATTTATAATATTTAACATTGAATGATTGATGAAATTGTAAAATATTTAACAATGTTTGGTAAAATATTTATCTGTTTGATAAAATTTTAAAATATTTAACAATGATTGATAAAATTGTAAAATATTTAACAATGATTGATAAAATTTTAACAATGTTTGGTAAAATATTTATCTGTTTGATAAAATTTTAAAATATTTAACAATGATTGGTTAACAATGATTGATAAAATTGTAAAATATTTATCTGTTTGATAAAATTTTAAAATATTTAACAATGATTGGTAAAATATTTGACAAAAAATTATGATTGAAGCATAAATTGATATATATTATATAAATCAAAAAATTATTCATAAATATTACATATTTGTAACAAATTGTGTTCTATATTAACTTTTATCTTTATTATTACTCAATTTATATTACTTTTAAATTGTTAATATGAGTTTGCAGCTATAATTTATAACCATAATTGATTAACATTTTATAAAAAAAGATATATTTTTGTATAATGAGAAAATTACATTTGAATGATTTATTTTTACAACATAAAAATTTGTTTATAATAAAAGAAATCATTTACTTTTGATAATTTTTTAAATATTATTTTATTAT